AGAACTGAACTAGAACTGAACTAGAACTGAACTAGAACTGAACTAGAACTGAACTAGAACTGAACTAGAACTGAACTAGAACTGAACTAGAACTGAACTAGAACTGAACTGAACTAGAACTGAACTAGAACTGAACTAGAACTGAACTAGAACTGAACTAGAACTGAACTAGAACTGAACTAGAACTGAACTAGAACGGAACTAGAACTGAACTAGAACTGAACTAGAACTGAACTAGAACTGAACTAGAACTGAACTAGAACTGAACTAGCACTGAACTAGAACTGAACTAGAACTGAACTAGAACTGAACTAGAACTGAACTAGAACTGAACTAGAACTGAACTAGAACTGAACTAGAACTGAACTAGAACTGAACTAGAACTGAACTAGAACTGAACTAGAACTGAACTAGAACTGAACTAGAACTGAACTAGAACTGAACTAGAACTGAACTAGAACTGAACTAGAACTGAACTAGAACTGAACTAGAACTGAACTAGAACTGAACTAGAACTGAACTAGAACTGAACTAGAACTGAACTAGAACTGAACTAGAACTGAACTAGAACTGAACTAGAACTGAACTAGAACTGAACTAGAACTAAACTAGAACTGAACTAGAACGGAACTAGAACTGAATAGAACTGAACTAGAACCGAACTAGATCTGAACTAGAACTGAACTAGAACTGAACTAGAACTGAACTAGAACTGAACTAGAACTGAACTAGAACTGAACTAGAACTGAACTAGAACAGAACTAGAACTGAACAAGAACTGAACTAGAACTGAACTAGAACTGAACTAGAACGGAACTAGAACTGAACTAGAACTGAACTAGAACCGAACTAGATCTGAACTAGAACTGAACTAGAACTGAACTAGAACTGAACTAGACTGAACTAGAACTGAACTAGAACTGAACTAGAACTGAACTAGAACTGAACTAGAACTAGAACTGAACTAGAACTGAACTAGAACTGAACTAGAACTGAACTAGAACTGAACTAGAACTGAACTAGAACTGAACTAGAACTGAACTAGAACTGAACTAGAACTGAACTAGAACTGAACTAGAACTGAACTAGAACTGAACTAGAACTGAACTAGAACTGAAGTAGAACTAAACTAGAACTGAACTAGAACTGAACTAGAACCGAACTAGAACTGAACTAGAACTGAACTAGAACTGAACTAGAACTGAACTAGAACTGAACTAGAACTGAACTAGAACTGAACTAGAACTGAACTAGAACTGAACTAGAACTGAACTAGAACTGAACTAGAACTGAACTAGAACTGAACTAGAACTGAACTAGAACTGAACTAAACTGAACTAGAACTGAACTAGAACTGAACTAGAACTGAACTAGAACTGAACTAGAACTGAACTAGAACTGAACTAGAACTGAACTAGAACTGAACTAGAACTGAACTAGAACTGAACTAGAACTGAACTAGAACTGAACTAGAACTGAACTAGAACTGAACTAGAACTGAACTAGAACTGAACTAGAACTGAACTAGAACTGAACTAGAACTGAACTAGAACTGAACTAGAACTGAACTAGAACTGAACTAGAACTGAACTAGAACTGAACTAGAACTGAACTAGAACTGAACTAGAACTGAACTAGAACTGAACTAGAACTGAACTAGAACTGAACTAGAACTGAACTAGAACTGAACTAGAACTGAACTAGAACTGAACTAGAACTGAACTAGAACTGAACTAGAACTGAACTAGAACTAAACTAGAACTGAACTAGACTGAACTGAACTAGAACTGAACTAGAACTGAACTAGAACTGAACTAGAACTGAACTAGAACTGAACTAGAACTGAACTAGAACTGAACTAGAACTGAACTAGAACTGAACTAGAACTGAACTAGAACTGAACTAGAACTGAACTAGAACTGAACTAGAACTGAACTAGAACTGAACTAGAACTGAACTAGAACTGAACTAGAACTGAACTAGAACTGAACTAGAACTGAACTAGAACTGAACTAGAACTGAACTAGAACTGAACTAGAACTGAACTAGAACTGAACTAGAACTGAACTAGAACTGAACTAGAACTGAACTAGAACTGAACTAGAACTGAACTAGAACTGAACTAGAAGAACTAGAACTGAACTAGAACTGAACTAGAACTGAACTAGAACTGAACTAGAACTGAACTAGAACTGAACTAGAACTGAACTAGAACTGAACTAGAACTGAACTAAACTGAACTAGAACTGAACTAGAACTGAACTAGAACTGAACTAGAACTGAACTAGAACTGAACTAGAACTGGACTAGAACTGGACTAGAACTGGACTAGAACTGAACTAGAACTGAACTAGAACTGAACTAGAACTGAACTAGAACTGAACTAGAACTGAACTAGAACTGAACTAGAACTGAACTAGAACTGAACTAGAACTGAACTAGAACTGAACTAGAACTGAACTAGAACTGAACTAGAACTGAACTAGAACTGAACTAGAACTGAACTAGAACTGAACTAGAACTGAACTAGAACTGAACTAGAACTGAACTAGAACTGAAGTAGAACTGAACTAGAACTGAACTAGAACTGAACTAGAACTGAACTAGAACTGAACTAGAACTGAACTAGAACTGAACTAGAACTGAACTAGAACTGAACTAGAACTGAACTAGAACTGAACTAGAACTGAACTAGAACTGAACTAGAAACTAGAACTGAACTAGAACTGAACTAGAACTGAACTAGAACTGAACTAGAACTGAACTAGAACTGAACTAAACTGAACTAGAACTGAACTAGAACTGAACTAGAACTGAACTAGAACTGAACTAGAACTGAACTAGAACTGAACTAGAACTGAACTAGAACTGAACTAGAACTGAACTAGAACTGAACTAGAACTGAACTAGAACTGAACTAGAACTGAACTAGAACTGAACTAGAACTGAACTAGAACTGAACTAGAACTGAACTAGAACTGAACTAGAACTGAACTAGAACTGAACTAGAACTGAACTAGAACTGAACTAGAACTGAACTAGAACTGAACTAGAACTGAACTAGAACTGAACTAGAACTGAACTAGAACTGAACTAGAACTGAACTAGAACTGAACTAGAACTGAACTAGAACTGAACTAGAACTGAACTAGAACTGAACTAGAACTGAACTAGAACTGAACTAGAACTGAACTAGAACTGAACTAGAACTGAACTAGAACTGAACTAGAACTGAACTAGAACTGAACTAGAACTGAACTAGAACTGAACTAGAACTGAACTAGAACTGAACTAGAACTGAACTAGAACTGAACTAGAACTGAACTAGAACTGAACTAAACTGAACTAGAACTGAACTAGAACTGAACTAGAACTGAACTAGAACTGAACTGAACTGAACTGAAAGAACTGAACTAGAACTGAACTAGAACTGAACTAGAACTGAACTAGAACTGAACTAGAACTGAACTAGAACTGAACTTGAACTGAACTAGAACTGAACTAGAACTGAACTAGAACTGAACTAGAACTGAACTAGAACTGAACTAGAACTGAACTAGAACTGAACTAGAACTGAACTAGAACTGAACTAGAACTGAACTAGACTGAACTAGAACTGAAATAGAACTGAACTAGAACTGAACTAGAACTGAACTAGAACTGAACTACAACTGAACTACAACTGAACTACAACTGAACTACAACTGAACTACAACTGAACTACAACTGAACTACAACTGAACTACAACTGAACTAGAACTGAACTAGAACTGAACTAGAACTGAACTAGAACTGAACTAGAACTGGACTAGAACTGGACTAGAACTGGACTAGAACTGAACTAGAACTGAACTAGAACTGAACTAGAAGTCAATTAGAACAGAAACTAAAACAAAGAAGAATTATCAAAATTACCGTCCGTACTACTGAAGCGATTAAATTTATTACAAATTGCTCTCAAATCGGTGGAACGATTTGCGGAACAATCTATAGTTTGATTACAAACTTTACGCGGACATACTGATAAACATGATTTAATGGGGTCAGAAGTGTACATTAAGGTGAGTTTAGAACCAGTATTTTTGGGGTTACGAACATTAGCACAAACATATTATACTTTCCCTCTACAGTGGTCTAGTGTAGAAAAAGTTCAAGATTAGTTAATTCAAAACTGATTTCACTGAATTAAACGATCCTTACTATTTTACAATATCGACTAAAGGTCTTTATATGTAAGTGTGTGTGTCTGCTAACAATCAATAAAATTATTTTAGCAACACAATGATTGAAGAGTAAATCAAATGTTAGCCAATATACATATTTACACAAAAAATCTCTAAGCCAATTTACAACTGGACTAAAAAAAATGCTAAATATGTACTATTGGCTCATCAACTTGCAACAAATACTTTTCACACAGCATACAACACTTTTAGTTGGCTTAAAAACAATCATCCAGAGCGGTACTGATCAAAAATTTAACGCTTCGAAAAACTCCCTAATAAATTTAATTGTGACAAACTGTTTTTTACAAAAATAAAAACAGAAAATAATTGAAAATGTTTTTATTAAAATTAATATAATTCGAAGAAAAAATAACCTTGATTTAAATAATAATTTTATATTTAAAAAAGTGCATTGTATTTTTATAATACAAATATTAAAAAAAATTTTATTTAATTTAAAATGTTATAGAAAAAAATTGCACTCAAAAAAAAGTAATATTTTATTTTACTCCAACTAAACACCAACTCAATTTAAAAAAAAATAAAATAGAACAATTAACTTAAGCATAGAGAGCAAATAATCATCGTTGACACAATTATTAAACGTAATCCAAGGCACAATCATTATGGTCAATCAGCGGCAGCGTCAATGCGATAAAAATATACCTTGCGTGTTGACGAAACTTTACTTTCCAATAATAACTGTATTTGTAGCGTCGTTATTGTCATTGAAATCGATTTCATGCAATGCACATTTATTACACATCGATCATAATGAATTTCGTTCAGGGGGTTTTCCCCCGACCACATCTACCACCACCAATTCTACCGCATATACAAGAAGAACTACCACAACAACACTTACCCGGCAAGGAATTGACACCATCGGAATATATGGTGGATTTGACCAACGATCTAGCCTATCGTGTATTACACTATCATTCCATATTAAATCGTAATAATTTTGCATTTTCTCCCACCGCTCTAATGAGTGTTCTCGTTGCCATTTATGAAGGATCGGCTGGACGGAGTATGACAGAATTGAAAAATGTATTACATTTACCCGATAATCATGATATTATACGTGTAGGATATCGTGATATTCATCGTCGTTTGAGGGTAAGTACTAGTAGGATCCTTTTCAATGAACAGTTACTTATTTTATAGTTCTTATTTTCAAAGAGTAGCGTTTGATTTTTGTTTAATTATGATGTTATGAAAAGATCATTGAACTTTTGGTTTAGTTTTGAATTTAAATAAATATGTATATATGTATGTACATACATACATATATAATAAATAATGTACATAAACTAATGAATTGATTTGACTTTGAATTTTTTTACCATAACAGTTTTTTCTTACACCCAAAGAAATTTGTTTAGTAATATAATAACGGTTTACCAAATTTAATTTTGCAATTAATTCGATATCTTGTCTACTATTGAAGATATAGTAGCGAAATTGTCACATTATAAAAAAATTAAAAACGCTAAGCACCTATTGCAAAAATATTCCATATCGTTCAAATTCAGTTCTAGTTCAGTTCTAGTTCAGTTCTAGTTCAGTTCTAGTTCAGTTCTAGTTCAGTTTCTAGTTCAGTTCTAGTTCAGTTCTAGTTCAGTTCTAGTTCAGTTCTAGTTCAGTTCTAGTTCAGTTCTAGTTCAGTCTAGTTCAGTTCTAGTTCAGTTCTAGTTCAGTTCTAGTTCAGTTCTAGTTCAGTTCCTAGTTCAGTTCTAGTTCAGTTCTAGTTCAGTTCTAGTTCAGTTCTAGTTCAGTTCTAGTTCAGTTCTAGTTCAGTTCTAGTTCAGTTCTAGTTCAGTTCTAGTTCAGTTCTAGTTCAGTTCTAGTTCAGTTCTAGTTCAGTTCTAGTTCAGTTCTAGTTCAGTTCTAGTTCAGTTCTAGTTCAGTTCTAGTTCAGTTCTAGTTCAGTTCTAGTTCAGTTCTAGTTCAGTTCTAGTTCAGTTCTAGTTCAGTTCTAGTTCAGTTCTAGTTCAGTTCTAGTCAGTTCTAGTTCAGTTCTAGTTCAGTTCTAGTTCAGTTCTAGTTCAGTTCTAGTTCAGTTCTAGTTCAATTCTAGTTCAATTCTAGTTCAGTTCTAGTTCAGTTCTAGTTCAGTTCTAGTTCAGTTCTAGTTCAGTTCTAGTTCAGTTCTAGTTCAGTTCTAGTTCAGTTCTAGTTCAGTTCTAGTTCAGTTCTAGTTCAGTTCTAGTTCAGTTCTAGTTCAGTTCTAGTTCAGTTCTAGTTCAGTTCTAGTTCAGTTCTAGTTCAGTTCTAGTTCAGTTCTAGTTCAGTTCTAGTTCAGTTCTAGTTCAGTTCTAGTTCAGTTCTAGTTCAGTTCTAGTTCAGTTCTAGTTCAGTTCTAGTTCAGTTCTAGTTCAGTTCTAGTTCAGTTCTAGTTCAGTTCTAGTTCAGTTCTAGTTCAGTTCTAGTTCAGTTCTAGTTCAGTTCTAGTTCAGTTCTAGTTCAGTTCTAGTTCAGTTCTAGTTCAGTTCTAGTTCAGTTCTAGTTCAGTTCTAGTTCAGTTCTAGTTCAGTTCTAGTTCAGTTCTAGTTCAGTTCTAGTTCAGTTCTAGTTCAGTTCTAGTTCAGTTCTAGTTCAGTTCTAGTTCAGTTCTAGTTCAGTTCTAGTTCAGATCTAGTTCAGTTTAGTAGTTTAGTTCGTTTAGTTCAGTTCTAGTTCAGTTCTAGTTCAGTTTAGTTCAGTTCTTCAGTTCTAGTTCAGTTCAGTTCTAGTTCAGTTCTAGTTCAGTTCTAGTTCAGTTCTAGTTCAGTTTTAGTTCAGTTCTAGTTCAGTTCTAGTTCAGTTCTAGTTCAGTTCTAGTTCAGTTCTAGTTCAGTTCTAGTTCAGTTCTAGTTCAGTTCTAGTTCAGTTCTAGTTCAGTTCTAGTTCAGTTCTAGTTCAGTTCTAGTTCAGTTCTCGTTAGTTCAGTTCTAGTTCAGTTCTAGTTCAGTTCTAGTTCAGTTCTAGTTCAGTTCTAGTTCAGTTCTAGTTCAGTTCTAGTCAGTTCTAGTTCAGTTCTAGTTCAGTTCTAGTTCAGTTCTAGTTCAGTTCTAGTTCAGTTCTAGTTCAGTTCTATTTAGTTCAGTTCTAGTTTAGTTCTAGTTTAGTTCGAATTCAATTTGAAAACATACTTAAGTTATTAATAAATCTTTCAGACTTATTTCTTTGATTCTGACAATCCACTGAAAGGATTGAGTTTAAATAAAGAAAATGTCACAATAACGCGAGATTATGAAGCTATTCTAAAGTTTATGGATATGATTTGGGCATAGACATGGTGTCTTCGACAGCAGTGCCAACAACCACAACTCCAGCTATAACTACAACACAGAAAACGGATAATGTAACAAACATCTTCAGAAGCCACCACACTAGAGGCAACAACAATTAAGACTTTAAATATGGAAACTACAACCACTCCAATGACAACAATAACAACAACTCCAATAACAATTAGCTCAGAAACAACTACAGAAGCACTAAAGACTAATACAGAGGTTATTACAACAACTACCGAGGAATCTATAACAACAATGAAACCTGAGGAAACGACAGAAATGACGAGTGAGAAACCCAATGAAGAAAATACAACAGAAGCAGCTGAAACTACTGACACCACTACAGCCACTGAAATGATAACTGAAGAAGTAAAAACAGAAGCAGAAACAAATGAAGCTGCTGAATTGATATCATCATTTGTAGCTGAAGAGAATTCCGAACCATTTTTACGCATACAAAAGGCACGAGTCACTAGATTACCCAGTGCCAAATTACAAGCACCCTTAACAACTAAATCTAAACTCCAGACCAACTATTTGCCAGCACAAAGAAAATCCAGTCGTCTTACTAGTCGCAATAAACGTCATTTATTTGGTTTTAAAGAATTCGATAGCAATCTATTCGTAACTCTCTTCAATGCCGAATCACAATTACACAATCCTCTAAGTACTGGATCAGCTCTAGCCGGATTACCTACTTATGTCCAAGTATCCAATGATTACGAAGTAGAGACAGATCCAATTTCATAGTTACCGCACAGACTTCGTCCAATTTAAAACAGAATTATAATACCGATGTTATCAGTCATGTCTTCTATTTAAACAGTCAACATGTCATCTATACCACATTTTAAAGTATATAATGCCGTCTTGTATTATAAATATTTTGAGCGTTTACGTTTAAGTGTCTTAGAATTGGAACTGGATACATCAGAATATAATTTAATTATATTATTGCCTGATTATAATACAGATTAGTGGCAGCAGCAGCATCTTTACGTTCTGGTCCTAAGTTGCGTCTCATGCGTAAACAATTAAAACCAAATGGGTACAAGCTATAATACCCGATTTTAGATTGCATGGAACTATGTTTTTAACAAATGATTTGCAAAATGTAAGTATTTCTGAAGCATAGTTAGGTTGATATCGTTAAAAATGTGATTCAAAAAATCGTTGTTAATTTTCTATTCAATTTATTCTAATCCATTTTATTATAGCTTGGCATTTGTGATATTTTTGAACCAAATCGTGCAGATTTTCGTCCAATGACAGATGAAACAGGCACCTACGTCAAACATATCGAACAGTCGATAAATGTACATATACGAACAAATCCCATCAATCAGTTAAGACGTAAGTATTTAAAATTACAAAACATACCGACTAGTACATCACACCATTTAGTAAATCAGCCAAGCAAAACGTTTAAGGGCACATTGTATAAAACTAGATACACCTTAAACACACATTTACACATGAATATTTTCTAAGATTTAACAAGCATCAAAATTGATTGTTTCATTCTTATTTTTTTCGATTTCTTCTTTCTTGATTCTCTTTAGGCAACAATGGAGCACAGACACAACCCATACAAATATCAGTAAATCATCCGTTTATGTTTTTCATTATTGATCGTGATTTGGATGTTGCTGTTATGGCTGGACGTATTTTAAATCCTCTTAATGTACGCGTTCAATAAAATACAATACATAATAATAATAACTAACATGCACATTACTACATTACATTACTTAATAAATAACTTGAGATTACACAAATTAGGAAACGAAAATTTAAAATATCTATCGTTTTGTTATTGTTATTTGAATTAAAAACAATTGTAACGATATTTAAACAATGATTTAGAAACAATTAAGAAACTTTGTAAATGGTTTCAGTTGTTGCATTGTTGTTAAATGTTTTAAATAGCTTCCGATTACTTCAACTGTAACCATACTTGCATATTTTAATTAAAGATAAACAAAATCAATTATTTAAATAAATAGCGATAAATTTATTAACAATTAGCTGTCTGTACTCATACATATGTGTACATACATACATATATTCGAGTTTTTCGAAAAATAGAAATTTGTATAAATTTTATATAATTCCCTATCAAATTTAGAAAGCAGGAATTAGAAGTAATTAAGTTTTTTAATACAAATTTCTCCGATTTCAAATTTCATATCGTCACCTAAAACGCAAAAGGACGTATCTAACATTTTCAAAATTTTACAGGAGAAGAAAAAACTATTTAAAATGAAAAGTTTGTTTTTATCGTCGCGATTTATTTTTATTAAATACAATTTTTTTTACTAGGTTTCACTAGTCATTTGTTATGATAGTTGATAATGTCGTATACAAAATTTGATATATTGGACTTTTTACCTTCAATATTTAAATGTTTTTGTAGATAGGGCCTTATGTTTTTCTTGTCAATAAAATCGCTAAATTTGGTCGGAGAAGTCAAATTTTGTTTGTGGACATTTGTTTTGATGCAATACATTAGAATCAACAATAAATCGATTTTGAATTTTTTGTTAGTTTGCAATTACATATTTTTTTGAATGAAAATTTAAGTAAATTCCATTAATTTCAGGATTGGACAGATATACCTTTTAAAGATATAATTTTTTTTTTTTATAAAATATTAAAAAAAAATTATTTCAATTATACGTTTAATTGAAAAGGTATATCCACCATTTTCATATAAATATCTAATTTTGTTTTAGGTTTTTGTTATTTAAGGAACTACATGCATACCATTCAATCTTACAAAAATTAGGTTCCTTCCGAAGATATTTATTTACCATATATCATAACAATAGATTTCGGAATATGGGCGGAGAAGGGGAGCAAAGGAAAAGACAAGCGCAAGGAGGACAGACAAGGCAAAAGGGCAAGGAAGACGGGGAGGACGGGGGCGAGCGAGCGAGCGAGCGAGCGAGCGAGCGAGCGAGCGAGCGAGCGAGCGAGCGAGCGAGCGAGCGAGCGAGCGAGCGAGCGAGCGAGCGAGCGAGCGAGCGAGCGAGCGAGCGAGCGAGCGAGCGAGCTAGCGAGCGAGCGAGCGAGCGAGCGAGCGAGCGAACGGCGAGCGAGCGAGCGAGCGAGCGAGCGAGCGAGCGAGCAGCGCCGAGCGAGCGAGCGAGCGAGCGAGCGAGCTAGCAGAGCGAGCGAGGACGGGCGAGCGAGCGAGCGAGCGAGCGAGGAGCGAGCGAGCGAGAGAGCGAGCGAGGACGAGCGAGCGAGCGAGCGAGAGCGAGCGAGCGAGCGAGCGAGCGACGAGCGAGCGAGCGAGCGAGCGAGCGAGGAGCGAGCGAGCGAGCGAGGAGCGAGCGAGCGAGCGAGCGAAGCGAGCGAGCGAGCGAGCGAGCGAGCGAGCGAGCGAGCGAGAGCGATCGAGAGCGAGCGAGCGAGAGCGAGCGAGCGAGAGCGAGCGAGCGATCGACGAGCGAGCTAGCGAAGCTAGCGATCTATCGAGCTAGATCGAGCTATCGAGCGGCTAGCGATCGATAGAGCTATCGAGCGATCTATCGATCTATCTATCTCTATATATCTATCTATATTATCTATCTATCTATCTATAGCTATCTATCTATCTATCTATCTATCTATCTATCTATCTATCTATCTATCTATCTATCTATCTATCTATCTATCTATCTATCTAAGTTTTATCCCCCTCTGGAAAATAAAAAAAGTACACAATATGTTCACCCACAATAGCCTTGAATAGGCACAATAATAACAAAACAAGAGAATTATTAAATTCAAATATATTTTTAAAAGAGAATTTAAAAAAAATACCTTATATTCTAAAAACATAAATATTTTAAGAAATTTTTAAATTAACGGCCATAGCTACATATGTACATCCATTACACATAACCTTAAAAAATATTTTTTGTCGGTCTATTAACAGTTACAATTCATGGTAAATTTTAAACCAATCGAATGATGGAATAAATTTTTCGCAAATTTTAAGATTCCTTTTAAATAGTTAAAACAGGTTCCCATTATTCGATTGCATTCAATTTTTTTTTAAAAGCTACGAATAAAATTTGTAATATTTTTAAAGAAATATGAAAATCATATAACAATTCAATTTACATTCAAAAACATTTAATAATAAGACTTAATACGTTGCAGAGACAATATGATTAATTAAATTTTTATACGAAATACAATTACAAATTGATGCGATTTGCCTCACGATTCTGATTGGTGAGATTGTGCAGTATTTGCAATTTCAAATTTTGTATCTCAACATCTTTACGATACAATATGCGATCACGTTTCTGTTGCAGTTTTAAATTACGTAAACGTTCGCGTTCAACTGCAATGCGATACATATACAATTGGCGTAAACCTTGATCGCGCGTTAACGTTTTGCGTATACGTTGTCTACGCTTGAGGGAACGACAATTATTGGGTCTATTATGTTGCTGTATTTTGCTATTAACGTTTAGAGCTGGCAGAAGTAGCATTTTCTTCATTACCACTGACTACACCATCATTTATGGGATTTTCTTTCAGGTTGTTAATTTTAGGAGAGTTTGTTGAACATGAAACTGTGCTTGTAACGTCGGAAGTATTGGCTGTGCAACTTTTGCATTATGAGCAGTAGCAACATTACAATTGGATTCAGCCAAAGATTGTACATTTTCTACCATAAAATTCATATTGTCCTTAAGTTTTAATCATTTCCATTACTATTCTGCATCTGGGAACTTAAAATTATACAACTACTTACATGTACTTTCGAATTAATCGATATTTCTTCTTCTGAATATTCAGTTTCATCAGCAGATGGTATATTTTCTGTTTTTATATAATGGTCTTCTGTTAATTGTACCTGTCCGGGTAATGTTAAGGATTTAGTAGATATGTGTTGTTGGATCTCGATGTTACTTTGTGCCATCATATGGGGGTTAATATTTTCCTTCATTATTAAATTATTAAACGAAATAATTGGACCTTTGTCAGTTTCCACTGATAAATTTCTTTCGATTGCATCTTTAACTTTTTTAGCCTCTGCTGCACGTATTCTTCCTAATTGTTGTTTAAGTCTTTCCTTGGAACGATTTTAAAACCTGCAGCTTGCATTCGTTATAGCAATTTCATCCCAAGCTTGTGATTTTCGTTTAATGGTCATGGTATCACTACCTTTATTTTCCAATATCGCCTGATGCATGCGCGTTAAAGTTAATAGCAACTGCTTCTCGGACTCGGTCCAATTGGTTGCCTCTCACGCTTTTCCCGGTTTTAATTTTTGCAAACTGTATGCTAAAAGAAATTAGATGTCCACATTTTTTATAATAAGATAATATTTAAACTTTTTTTAATATTTTCTTTGTTTTTTTTAATAATACTAGTATTTTTATTACCACTTAAATCCATAGCTGCTTTACTAAAATTAATTAATGTGAAATTAGTAGTTTTTAAATAAATGTTGTTGTGATTTACTAGTAGTTTTTTTTCTCAAAATTTCTGTTGAAACTTTTTTTGTCGAAAAAGTCCAAAAAACTAGTCGAAAAAGTCCAAAACTAGTCGAAAAAGTCCAGTGTAGTTATTACAAGTTACGACTTAGTTACGACTTTTCACATATTTCAAAAAGTCGCATAAGAAAAGTCGACTTTTCATTAATTGCAAAAAATTCCTTATATTTATGTGCAAAGTCCGCCCATAATAGGGAATAAATGTGTTTGTCTCTTAACCTCAACAATGTAAATTTAAGTGGGGCAATAAATAGGAACCTCGAATTTGTGAACATTTTTGTATGGTTCTTGATAACGGTTATTTTAACGACCAACATTCATTTAGTATTACATAGTTGCATTTGGTAAATCACTAGAATTTAACATACAAAGTGAATGAAAACTAAAAAAGAAGAAGATGTAAACAAAAAAATTTCCTTGTTTTGCTTATCGCAAAATCTGTTTTTTTCGAAGAAAATATTATTAGTTGAACTAATTAAATGCGCTTTGTTTTATAGACAACGTTAACAGTAATACAAAAAGGATATGTTTACATTTTAATCAAAATTAACCAAACATTGTCAATATGGCGAACAATGAACGCGATAAAATCTTTAAATCATGGTCGGGTATCAGTGAAATTGCCCTCATAAAGGAAGTGGCTACCAAGGGAGAATACATACAATTATGCATACAATATTGGGCACGTAAACGTAAAATGTCTGTGACCGAATATGAATTATTCTTCCATGATGTTGTGCAAACCTATGTGAATCGTTTGTTAACGGAACGTTTAGTATGTAAAGCAGAAAATGTTCTGCGTAATGTACAAAGAGACGTAAAATGTTTTTTACTATCAATTCGCCTGCGAGTCCAATGATCCGGAATTAAGAGAACTTTTAATGGAACATTTGATGAAAAGAGAACCCTGTGATGACTATGAACAATTAATGCAAAATCTAAAATTTCATTGGGAACTGTTGCAACAAATAAAACAATCAGAAACTATTATGGGCAATATAAAAAAGCATATGAGACGTGTTAATTTAGAATCGTTAATGTCCTTGGATTCGGCTACTCAACAAAGACTTATGATAGAGTTATATTTTGAGACTTATAACACAAGTCTTCTGCAACATATTAATAAATTTGTTATGTGGGACTTTTTAGTTGAAAACTAAACAGCTTGAAGAGATTATACGTTGGTGTCGCATACAACTTAGCCCCAAAGATCCCCAACCTATTAAAATCTAACAGAATTGGAATTGAAATATTCACAATGGACTTTGGAAAGTGAAATGTATAAATATGCTTTACGCTCGCTACAAGACATTAGCGATAATGTTCTAAGAAATTATTTTGCTTTCAGCTGGTTATTTCTTTGAAGATGAAATAAATTCTGTACCAATAGTATTACAACGTATCAGTCTGACAGAAAGCTTTCAACAAAACAACGATAATATACAATCTTTGCCATTAGCTCGTTTTATCTTCGATCAAAAGCTTTACTATTTGTTACTATACGATTTTGTGGGTCAGCGTCAACTTGAAGAGTTATCTGAACTGTTAAGCGAACATAGGCCTTTGTTGAAATTTCTAGTGGCTTTAAAGGCTAATTCTTTTCAGAATTTAGAAGGATTTAAGGAGGGTAAGTATATTTATAAACGTAATCTATGTATTTTAGAGGGTGAGTCGTTTATAACAGCACGAACACATGTTTATTTATAAAATATGTTATGTTATGTTTGTAAGTCCAATCTGTCGACTCTAAAATAAATGTTAACTAACTTGAAGTTTGTATTCAGGTACCAGATTCGAATTCAGCGCTGCTCAGTTCTTAAGAAAATTACACTTTGGTTTCTGGGTTTTTGGATTTTTTTTGTTTAAAAAATATTAACATTTTTATTTCAAAGTGGTCAAAAACACATTGCGGTCAGAATTTCTAAAATGTTTATAACAAAAATTTCAAAACTATTTTACAACAAATTTTACTTTTAAATTGTAATACTCTCGGAAAACTTAAATTTCAGATAAGCTTTTTATGCTACAAAATATTTAGAAAGTGTTGGCGTTGATTTTGAACAAGAACAAGCACTTGCTACTCTATTTGAGTTTCTTACGACCGAACCTTCCATATCGAATTTACAATGTTCGGCCACTTCAGGCACGCTCAAACCACTGACCTATCTTAAAATCATACATCATCAACAAAGCGAAACAACAAATACTATCGAACAGGGTCTACCAAATGTTTATGATCTTTTGAACACCTTTAAAGAACTCGATTATAAACGTCTAACAAAAGATGCCAATTTATATGGAAAATTTTCAAGTTTTTCGGAACAACCCAAACAAGATGGTTAAAACAATACTACCGTACACTTGTCGCTTAAACTTTTTACACTATATCAAACAGTCGCGTTGTTCCTATGCGGTTTATTTGATGCTTTTGGAACAATTGCAAAATTATGCCCAAATTACTGAGACGCATCTTTTCAGCGCCTGTGAATGTGTCTATGATATGGCGCTACAATCTTCATCTTCCGATACAGAAGTTATTACACACTGCATAGCATTTTGTGAAATGCTGGGCTTCGATACGCAACAGCTACGTTGTTTTTTAAAACTCAAGAGATGTCTTACAAGTGGTTGTCGAGGGCAACGGTCAGCACTCACAAAATATAGTTTCTATACTACAAATATCAGAACGTTTTTTAATACAACGTTTGGAAAAGGAACGTTTATTTCCCTTGACTGATTACTCGGCCATAATGTGTGTTAATGCTATAGCAAAGAGCGTGAATAATACTGGCAGTGAACAGGTGTCTTTCTGAGACTTGGCTTGATGTAACTGTTTCTGACCGTGCTATTAATATGATTTGGCTATGATTTTTGTAGGAATGATCGTCCTTCTAGAGGTGGTGGTGTGTAGGGATATTTGTTTCTAATAGGCTAAGATTTAAATCAGTTTTTAGGGGGTTTGTTGCTGGGATGTGTGAATCTCTTTTTATTTAATTGTATTTTGCTAATATGAAAATATTATTTGGAGTTGTATACCTTCCTGGTGGTGATCTTAGTGTTTTTTGATGATTGTCATCGTAGCCTCTTTTCAAAATATTTAAATATTATTGTTACTGGTGATTTTAATTGTAATCTGTTTAACATTTCTAGATCTAGTATTATGAGATCTTTTTGTGTTCGGTCTAATCTGTCTATAATGCATAACTCTAGACCAACTCACTATGATGTAGCTAATGATTCTACGTCCTTGCTGGATTACTTTTTGCTTAGTGATGCCTCTTGTAATGTCGTTTCTCACCAGGTTCAGTGCCCTAATATTTGGTTCTTTCAATTTTAATACCACATCACATAGAAAATATATTGAATATAGGGACTATAACAACATAGATTGGAACGGAATATTTTCATGTCTTTCTAATTTTAATTGTGATCCGTTACTTAACTCTACTTGTGTTGATGTTAAATGTGACTATTTCTCCGCTCTTGTTGCTGACCTTTTTGCATATGTTCCGATTGTAAAGAAGCATATCTGGGTTAATTGTGATTCTTGGATGAATTCTCATACTATATCTGTGGCTAGATCTTTAAGAGATATGGCTTATGCTACATATCGGTCTGATCGTTCTATTGAAAACTGGAGGATGTACTGTAGACTTCGTAATAAGGCTAAAAGTGTTATTAGGAGAGAAAAGAGGAAGTATTTTTTGCAACTTTTTGTTGGACACTTTGGTGGACGGCTGGCTTATGGCGTGTTCTACGGAATTCGGGATGTGCTGGAGATAGTAATAATATGACATGGGATGGTGATGTTGATAGTTTAAATGAATTTTTTGCAGGAGGTCATGATTCTAATAATAATGTTGAATATAATCTTGATAATGTTCATAATTATAATAACACTTTTTCATTCCGCTGTGTGGATGAATTAGAAGTTGCTGAGGCCCTGAGTAAGGTGAAGTCTGGTTCAATTGGTCCTGATTGTATTCCTGTCAGATTTCTCAAACTTATTTTTCCTCATGTTTCTATATTATTACTTGATTTGCACGTGTTGTACCCATTCCTAAATCTAAAACTGTGAATAATCCTGATGATCTTAGACCTATCTCTATTTTACCAGCGTTGTCTAAAGTTGTTGAGCATCTCATTAACAGTCAGATGCTTCACTCGGTCATTGGTAATATTTATGAATCGCAATATGCATTCCGGCATGGTTTTAGCACTACGTCACTCTTACTTTCTCTTACTGAGTCTATTAGGGAAAGTATGAATGTCAATAAAGTAAATGCTTTGGTCTCCCTAGATTTATCTAAGGCTTTTAATTCTGTATGCCACGTTACCTTAATTAAAAAGCTCAGAGCTGAATTTGGATTCTCTACTTCTGCGTGTAAAAAATTAACTCATATCTGTGTGGTCGATCTCAATTTGTTGACATCAAAGGAATTAAATCAAGTACGTGTAATCTTTATTCTGGTGTTCCGCAGGGTTCCGTTTTAGGTCCTTTATTATTTATCTTATATGTTAATGATCTCTATTTACATACTAATTCTGAATCCTGTACAACATTTATGTACGCTGATGATGTCTTTTTATTATTTAAGGGTGATCGTACTAGATCTGATTCTTTTACAATTGATGTCAAAAATGTTCTTGATCGTGTTTTACAGTGGACAGTTAATAATTCTCTTGCTATTAACCCTACTAAAACTAAGGCAATCATTTTTGGTTCTGACCACCTTACTGCTGATATAAACTTCTATATTGGGAATGTATTAATTGAAAATGTTATTCGACATAGGTGTTTGGGTGTGTTTCTTGATGATCATCTGTCTTTTGAAGATCATGTTGACTTCATGTCTGGTAAGGTTTGGTGTATTCTACGTAAAATGTATGCATCGCCAAACCGTCTTTTGATAGAAGCTTTTCGGTGAATATCCGACACGACCCAAATGTGATGGAAACAATCCTCCATGACGGATCGTATAAGTTTTTCACTGATGGCTCAAAATCAAACCATGGTGTAGGCGGTGGCTTTTACATAGCACATTCGGGAACGGAAGTATCATTCAAGCTTCCTGACCAATGTAGCGTCCTTCAGGCTGAACTATCAGCCATTAAACGGGCTGCAAACTGGCTCAGGTTTTATCGAATATACGGTGTTAATATTCGAATTTATACCGACAGCCAGGCAGCCCTTAAGGTTCTAAGTGGTGTCTACACGACGTCAAACTTAGTCCTAGAATGCCGGGCATCCCTTAACGAGATGGCGAAACATTCCACAAATTCCTGGTAATACCATCGCGGACTCTCTTGCCAAGTTAGGCTCCTCGCTTGCAGGAGAGCATACCGACCCTTTTGTCGGTATACCGCTTTCAACCTGGAAACGCTCGATACGTGAAAAACTATATGAGCTTGTGCAATGCAGATGGTCGACTGAAGCCACCTGTAGACAGGCAAGGATCATGTGGCCATCTTACGACCCACAAAGATCCCAAGCCCTTTTCTACATTCCGAGAGTTAATCTACGGAACTTAACGGCAGTGTTAACTGGCCACTGGCCTTTCGGACTCCATGCAAGAAGACTGAACTTACCCAGTAACGACTTCTGCAGGAGCTGCCAGGATGAAGAGGAAGAAGAGAGTATAACTCACTTCCTCTGTCATTGTCCTGCCCTAGCTGATCACAGAATGGGTCTGCTAGGTAGCTATTTTCTGCATGACTTAGCGGATCTATCGGAGGTTGATATCCGAAAGATAGATTCCTATATTCGTGCGACAAACTGGTTCGGTGGAAACCAGAGTGATTAGGTTGAAGTGTACTAATACGCCGACCGTTCTCTCTCGTTTCAGGTATCACAAAGGGATCAAATTCTGGACCCAAGTGTGTCCCCAGTGATGACATCGCGAGGACGACCTGCCTACCTAACCTAATATATATCTACCTCTCTGTATTAGACAAAACTTGCTCATGCACTTCTCATGCCTCATATTATTTACTGTCTTGAGGTTGTATCTGGTTCTTCTGTGGTTACTTTGACTTTGAATAAGTTTGTATTCTTGCGATCTTCTAGGAATCCGCAAGTTCATATTCCCAGAATTTCTAGACTCCATTTTGAAAGGTCATTTTGTGATGAGGATTGCTCGGTGCTGGAATTGTTTGCCTCTTGAACTACGTATTTTCTCTCACACAAACAATGTCTTTCGTCTTAAACTTCAACTTTATTTTGCCAGTTTGACTCACTTGTAGTAGTAAGTAAGACTAAGATTTCACCTCCTTATTATCAATTTTTTTTTTTTTATGATTGATTTTATTACTTACCGTATGCTTATTCGTGGTACTGCTGATTGGGACCTACCTACGTTTTCTATATTATTTAATTTAGAAATTTGAACTTATGGCTGGGGAGCCAATTATGTGATTTGGATTGTAACTTTTAATTATTAGTTTTAAGTCCTTTTGTAAACTCAGGGTTTTTATTGCTAAGTAATACATATTTATATTTTGGCCTTTAAGGCTTTGTATTGCTATATTGAATAAATAAATAAATAAAATAAATAAATAAATGCAGCACTATGCCGCTCTTAATGATTATTGGCGGCTTTTAGTCCTATTGCAATATTTTGAAATTTCTTTAGACCAAATTAAGCAGTTGGTTAAATATTTCACCATTCCAGCAATGGGTGAACATTTGCTAAGAGCCTTGGTCTTTCCTACACAAATAAGCGAGCGCAACACAGGCCTTAATCGCCGCACAAGTCTAACAAGACGTCAACTGAAACAAAATAAACAGCGTAGAAAGGAAAATAAAACAGCTGTTACCACCACCTCTATGGAAACAATGACATCTTCGTTTGCTTCTTGCCATGAATCAGCGGGTATTGTTAATGATCTGGAACCCAACAATGATCGTTTTGTAGCCGACTGCAGTAATGGTGGTCCCGATCTCTTTGCTCTTATTATACTATTACAAACGCCAACAAAAGCAATGATAACGAAGAAATAGACGATATAAACAAATTCCTCGAATATATGCAACAAAACATGAGCGCACAACCACATCAACTATTGTTAACTATTTAAAGACAGCGGTGTGGAACAACAATTGCCTATAATGGCTGTTTTAGCAGCCTCAATAAATGTTAAAGAAAACTGCAATTTGGTATGGTGTTGGCTGGTGTGGTTAGCGGTGACTACCAATCAATGGAATAATGTTTTAAGATTTGCAGTGGGCATTAATATACATTCATTTCCCTGGAATCTTATAGAACAGTTAGTAAGACAATGCCAAATAAAATCATTAGTGCGCAGCTTTTATATCTTTTATCCTCAAAACGCTTTAATACATCTCTTCAATTTTATGCAAATAACTTTACAAGGTGAATTTGGTGAAAAAGCTGTACATGAGCTGTGTTTGTATGCTTTGGCCTGGAGTAATGATGAAGTGCGTTTACCACTGAATCCCTGGTCAAAACGGTTAAACTTATGAAACGAACAATATGGCTTTTACTTTCACATTTAAAGAATAATTCGAATCCATTACGGATCAAATGAAATTCCTTACATGTGTCTGTCAATCTGGTCTCAGTGATATAACCTCTCAGCTAGACTTTTGTTTATTAAGGGGTTTCTGTGAAATTCTGCAATTGGCTGGGTACGGAGCCACACAAAGATTCCCCGTAAACTGTATAGAAGGGAGACAAAACGAGGCGGGAGAAAACAAAGAAGAGGAACGAAGAGCGAGCGAGCGAGCGAACGGGCGAGCGAGCGAGCGAGCGAGCGAGCGAGCGAGCGAGCGAGTCGAGCGAGCGAGCGAGGCGAGCGAGCGAGCGAGCGAGCGAGCGAGCGAGCGAGCGAGCGAGCGAGCGAGCAGCGAGGAGCGAACGGGCGAGCGAGCGAGCGAGCGGAGCGAGCGAGCGAGCGAGCGAGCGAGCGAGCGAGGAGCGAGCTAGCGAGCGAGCGAGCGAGCGAGCTAGCGAGCGAGCGAGCGAACGGCGAGCCGAGCGAGCGAGCGAGCGAGCGAGCGAGCGAGCGAGCGAGCGAGCGAGCAGAGCCGAGCGAGCGAGCGATCGAGCGAGCGAGCGAGCGAGCGAGCGAGCGAGCGAGCGAGCGAGCGAGCTAGGAGCGAGCGAGCGAGCGAGCGAGGAGCGAGCGAGCGAGCGAGCGAGCGAGCGAGCGAGCGAGCGAGCGAGCGAGCGAGCGAGGCGAGCGAGCGAGCGAGCGAGAGAGCGAGCGAGCTAGCGAGCGAGAGCGAGCGAGCGAGCGAGCGAGCGAGCGAGAGAGAGAGCGAGCGAGCGAGCGAGCGAGCGAGCGAGCGAGCGAGCGTAGCGAGCTAGGAGCGAGCGAGCGAGCGAGCGAGCGAGCGAGCGAGCGATCGAGCGAAGCGAGCGAGCGAGCCGAGCGAGAGAGCTAGCGAGCGAGCGAGAGAGCGATCGTAGTCTAGCACTATCTCTCTAGCATCGAGCGATGCTACTCTCGAGCGAGCTAGCTATCTATCTATCTATCTATCTATCTATCTATCTATCTATCTATCTATATCTATCTATCTATCTATATAAGTTTTATCCCCCTCTGGAAAATAAAAAAAGTACACAATATGTTCACCCACAATAGCCTTGAATAGGCACAATAATAACAAACAAGAGAATTATTAAATTCAAATATATTTTTAAAAGAGAATTTAAAAAAAATACCTTATATTCTAAAAACATAAATATTTTAAAGAAATTTTTAAATTAACGGCATAGCTACATATGTACATCCATTACACATAACCTTAAAAAATATTTTTTGTCGGTCTATTAACAGTTACAATTCATGGTAAATTTTAAACCAATCGAATGATGGAATAAATTTTTCGCAAATTTTAAGATTCCTTTTAAATAGTTAAACAGGTTCCCATTATTCGATTGCATTCAATTTTTTTTTTAAAAGCTACGAATAAAATTTGTAATATTTTAAAGAAATATGAAAATCATATAACAATTCAATTTACATTCAAAAACATTTAATAATAAGACTTAATACGTTGCAGAGACAATATGATTAATTAAATTTTTATACGAAATACAATTACAAATTGATGCGATTTGCCTCACGATTCTGATTGGTGAGATTGTGCAGTATTTGCAATTTCAAATTTTGTATCTCAACATCTTTACGATACAATATGCGATCACGTTTCTGTTGCAGTTTTAAATTACGTAAACGTTCGCGTTCAACTGCAATGCGATACATATACAATTGGCCGTAAACCTTGATCGCGCGTTAACGTTTTGCGTATACGTTGTCTACGCTTGAGGGAACGACAATTATTGGGTCTATTATGTTGCTTGTATTTTGCTATTAACGTTAGAGCTGGCAGAAGTAGCATTTTCTTCATTACCACTGACTACACCATCATTTATGGGATTTTCTTTCAGGTTGTTAATTTTAGGAGAGTTTGTTGAACATGAAACTGTGCTTGTAACGTCGGAAGTATTGGCTGTGCAACTTTTGGCATTATGAGCAGTAGCAACATTACAATTGGATTCAGCCAAAGATTGTACATTTTCTACCATAAAATTCATATTGTCCTTAAGTTTTAAATCATTTCCATTACTATTCTGCATCTGGGAACTTAAAATTATACAACTACTTACATGTACTTTCGAATTAATCGATATTTCTTCTTCTGAATATTCAGTTTCATCAGCAGATGGTATATTTTCTGTTTTTTATATAATGGTCTTCTGTTAATTGTACCTGTCCGGGTAATGTTAAGGATTTAGTAGATATGTGTTGTTGGATCTCGATGTTACTTTGTGCCATCATATGGGGGTTAATATTTTCCTTCATTATTAAATTATTAAACGAAATAATTGGACCTTTGTCAGTTTCCACTGATAAATTTCTTTCGATTGCATCTTTAACTTTTTTAGCCTCTGCTGCACGTATTCTTCCTAATTGTTGTTTAAGTCTTTCCTTGGAACGATTAAAACCTGCAGCTTGCATTCGTATAGCAATTTCATCCCAAGCTTGTGATTTTCGTTTAATGGTCATGGTATCACTACCTTTATTTTCCAATATCGCCTGATGCATGCGCGTTAAAGTTAATAGCAACTGCTTCTCGGACTCGGTCCAATTTGTTTGCCTCTCACGCTTTTCCCGGTTTAATTTTTGCAAACTGTATGCTAAAAGAAAATTAGATGTCCACATTTTTTATAATAAGATAATATTTAAACTTTTTTTAATATTTTCTTTGTTTTTTTAATAATACTAGTATTTTTATTACCACTTAAATCCATAGCTTGCTTTACTAAAATTAATTAATGTGAAATTAGTAGTTTTTAAATAAAATGTTGTTGTGATTTACTAGTAGTTTTTTTTTCTCAAAATTTCTGTTGAAACTTTTTTTGTCGAAAAAGTCCAAAAACTAGTCGAAAAAGTCCAAAAAACTAGTCGAAAAAGTCCAAAAACTAGTCGAAAAAGTCCAGTGTAGTTATTACAAGTTACGACTTAGTTACGACTTTTCACATATTTCAAAAAGTCGCATAAGAAAAGTCGACTTTTCATTAATTGCAAAAATTCCTTATATTTATGTGCAAAGTCCCGCCCATAATAGGGAATAAATGTGTTTGTCTCTTAACCTCAACAATGTAAATTTAAGTGGGGCAATAAATAGGAACCTCGAATTTGTGAACATTTTTGTATGGTTCTTGATAACGGTTATTTTAACGACCAACATTCATTTAGTATTACATAGTTGCATTTGGTAAATCACTAGAATTTAACATACAAAGTGAATGAAAACTAAAAAAGAAGAAGATGTAAACAAAAAAATTTCCTTTGTTTTGCTTATCGCAAAATCTTGTTTTTTTCGAAGAAATATTATTAGTTGAACTAATTAAATGCGCTTTGTTTTATAGACAACGTTAACAGTAATACAAAAAGGATATGTTTACATTTTAATCAAAATTAACCAAACATTGTCAATATGGCGAACAATGAACGCGATAAAATCTTTAAATCATGGTCGGGTATCAGTGAAATTGCCCTCATAAAGGAAGTGGCTACCAAGGGAGAATACATACAATTATGCATACAATATTGGGCACGTAAACGTAAAATGTCTGTGACCGAATATGAATTATTCTTCCATGATGTTGTGCAAACCTATGTGAATCGTTTGTTAACGGAACGTTTAGTATGTAAAGCAGAAAATGTTCTGCGTAATGTACAAAGAGACGTAAAATGTTTTTACTATCAATTCGCCTGCGAGTCCAATGATCCGGAATTAAGAGAACTTTTAATGGAACATTTGATGAAAAGAGAACCCTGTGATGACTATGAACAATTAATGCAAAATCTAAAATTTCATTGGGAACTGTTGCAACAAATAAAACAATCAGAAACTATTATGGGCAATATAAAAAGCATATGAGACGTGTTAATTTAGAATCGTTAATGTCCTTGGATTCGGCTACTCAACAAAGACTTATGATAGAGTTATATTTTGAGACTTATAACACAAGTCTTCTGCAACATATTAATAAATTTGTTATGTGGGACTTTTTAGTTGAAACTAAACAGCTTGAAGAGATTATACGTTGGTGTCGCATACAACTTAGCCCCAAAGATCCCCAACCTATTAAAAATCTAACAGAATTGGAATTGAAATATTCACAATGGACTTTGGAAAGTGAATGTATAAATATGCTTTACGCTCGCTACAAGACATTAGCGATAATGTTCTAAGAAATTATTTTGCTTCAGCTGGTTATTTCTTTGAAGATGAAATAAATTCTGTACCAATAGTATTACAACGTATCAGTCTGACAGAAAGCTTTCAACAAAACAACGATAATATACAATCTTTGCCATTAGCTCGTTTTATCTTCGATCAAAAGCTTTACTATTTGTTACTATACGATTTTGTGGGTCAGCGTCAACTTGAAGAGTTATCTGAACTGTTAAGCGAACATAGGCCTTTGTTGAAATTTCTAGTGGCTTTAAAGGCTAATTCTTTTCAGAATTTAGAAGGATTTAAGGAGGTAAGTATATTTATAAACGTAATCTATGTATTTTAGAGGGTGAGTCGTTATAACAGCACGAACACATGTTTATTTATAAAATATGTTATGTTATGTTTGTAAGTCCAATCTGTCGACTCTAAAATAAATGTTAACTAACTTGAAGTTTGTATTCAGGTACCAGATTCGAATTCAGCGCTGCTCAGTTCTTAAGAAAATTACACTTTGGTTTCTGGGTTTTTGGATTTTTTTGTTAAAAAAATATTAACATTTTTATTTCAAAGTGGTCAAAAACACATTGCGGTCAGAATTTCTAAAATGTTTATAACAAAAATTTCAAAACTATTTTACAACAAATTTTACTTTTAAATTGTAATACTCTCGGAAAACTTAAAATTTCAGATAAGCTTTTATGCTACAAAATATTTAGAAAGTGTTGGCGTTGATTTTGAACAAGAACAAGCACTTGCTACTCTATTTGAGTTTCTTACGACCGAACCTTCCATATCGAATTTACAATGTTCGGCCACTTCAGGCACGCTCAAACCACTGACCTATCTTAAAATCATACATCATCAACAAAGCGAAACAACAAATACTATCGAACAGGGTCTACCAAATGTTTATGATCTTTTGAACACCTTTAAAGAACTCGATTATAAACGTCTAACAAAAGATGCCAATTTATATGGAAAATTTTCAAGTTTTTCGGAACAACCCAAACAAGATGGTAAAACAATACTACCGTACACTTGTCGCTTAAACTTTTTACACTATATCAAACAGTCGCGTTGTTCCTATGCGGTTTATTTGATGCTTTTGGAACAATTGCAAAATTATGCCCAAATTACTGAGACGCATCTTTTCAGCGCCTGTGAATGTGTCTATGATATGGCGCTACAATCTTCATCTTCCGATACAGAAGTTATTACACACTGCATAGCATTTTGTGAAATGCTGGGCTTCGATACGCAACAGCTACGTTGTTTTTTAAAACTCAAGAGATGTCTTACAAGTGGTGTCGAGGGCAACGGTCAGCACTCACAAAATATAGTTTCTATACTACAAAAATCAGAACGTTTTTTAATACAACGTTTGGAAAAGGAACGTTTATTTCCCTTGACTGATTACTCGGCCATAATGTGTGTTAATGCTATAGCAAAGAGCGTGAATAATACTGGCAGTGAACAAGTGTCTTTGGTAATGCAACACTATGCCGCACTTAATGATTATTGGCGCCTTTTGGTGCTATTGCAATATTTTGAAATATCATTAGACCAAATTAAACAGTTGGTTAAATATTTCACCATACAACCAATGGGTGAACATTTGCTAAGGGCCTTGGCCTTTGCTACACAAATAAACGAGCGTAATACAGGAATTAAGCGTCGCACAAGTCTAACAAGACGTCAACTGAAACAAAATAAACAGCGTAGAAAGGAAAATAAAACAGGTGTTACCACCACCTCCATGGAAACAATGACATCTTCGTTTGCTTCTTGCCATGAATCAGCGAGTATTGTTAATGATCTGGAACCCAACAATGATCGTTTTGTAGCCGACTGCAGTAATGGTGGCCCCGATCTCTTTGCTCTTATTATACTATTTACAAATGCCAACAAAAGCAATGATAATGAAAAAATAGACGATATAAACAAATTCCTCGAATATATGCAACAAAAACATGAGCGCACAACGACATCAACTGTTGTTAACTATTTAAGGACAGCGGTGGAACAACAATTGCCCATAATGGCTGTTTTAGCAGCCTCAATATATGTTAAAGATAACTGCAATTTGGTATGGTGTTGGCTCGTGTGGTTAGCGGTGACTACCAATCAATGGAATAATGTTTTAAGATTGGCAGTGGGTATTAATATACATTCATTTCCCTGGAATCTTATAGAACAGTTAGTAAGACAGTGCCAAATAAAAACTTTAGTGCGCAGCTTTTATATTTTTTATCCTCAAAACGCTTTAATACATCTCTTCAATTTTATGCATCTAACTTTACAAGGTGAATTTGGTGATAAAGCTGTACATGAGCTACGTTTGTATGCTTTGGCCTGGAGTAATGATGAAGTGCGTTTACCACTGAATCCCTGGTCAAAACGGGAAAAACTTATGAAACGAACAATATGGCTTTTACTTTCACATTTAAAGAATAATTTCGAATCCATTACGGATCAAATGAAATTCCTTACATGTGTCTGTCAATCTGGTCTCAGTGATATAACCTCTCAGCTAGACTTTTGTTTATTAAGGGGTTTCTGTGAAATTCTGCAATTGGCTGGTAACGGAGCCACACAAAGATTCCCCTTAAACTTTATAGAATTGATACAAAACGAGTCGGGAGAAAACAAAGAATATGAACGTGTGTTAAATTGTGTGCTGGCCGCAAAAGAATATGACATTGCCATACGTTTGGCCACCCATTTACACAAGCCAATCAGTGATATTGTCTATAGCAAATGGGTTAACTCTTTAGAATTGCAATTGTCTTTGCCCACAATGGAAAATTTTGATAATTATAAATTTCCCTTTGAGCAATATGAACAAGAGGTTGCCGCACACTCCTTGCCACCGGAAACGTTAGTAAACTTTCTGCTTTACGCTTCCTCGCGCTTGCCTACGCAAGCTTTCCGTTCACGCTACTATGTACTACAAAAAGCTCTTAATGTTATAAAACATCATCACTTATTTCCGAATGAATCCTTTGATCGTGATCAAATAGAATATGATATGATTATAAACTATCTTTTGCTGGGAGAGGAAGATGCCGCCACACTGACTTTGTATCATTCCGAATATTATGAAGAAATTATGTTATCTGAAAGATGTGTTCTCTACAAATCATTTCTGGAATTGAAGGAATTGGCTGGCATAGATGATTTGAATATAAGCAGCAAAATCGTTTTAAATAATACTCAAAAAAATCGTTTAGAATCTTTATTACATCGTCTGCTAGATGACGGCGATATAGTTGAGGCCCTACGACTCCAGGAACTCTTTGATGTGCGTCCTTTGGATTTGCGTTTTGTGGTATTTTGCATGGCTTTGGCCGAATCTATGTCAAATATATACGCTATGTCGCCAGATGAACGACAGCTTTTGGCTGAGATAGAACGTTCCTCATTTTCCAAATTTACAAAACGCACACTTTGCGCCACTTCAGGCGGAGGTAGTGGTAGTTATTTATCAGACAGCTGCTCGACCTTAGAATTCGAAGAAATACCTTCAAAAGAAAAGCAAGAAACATTGGCCGTCCTCCAGGGTATAGCGTCGAAATTAAAATTTGGCGTTACCATTGCCAAACGAGTCATTTGTTGCTATCGCGCTGCCATGTATTTGGACAAAGAATACTTAGATGTTTTGCGCACCAAAGATGTGCAGATATTATTGCAGAGTATAGCTGAAGAGGGTTGCTTGCACCGCCTGTTAGTAGTCAGTGATATATTGACTTCTACTCATATGGAACCTCAAGAAATTGCCGAACTATTGGCCTTTGAAATCACTACTGCCGTTGTACGACCACGTTTCTATATCTTCAGTCCAGACCAGCAAGCTAAACATATGTTCCGTAATGCCGATCTCTGGGGTTATAACATAGATAGAGATTTGCATTTATTTCTCGAACTAACACCCGATCGCACTAAGTTAGGCGCTTGCCTGTTGGAATATTGTGATGCTTTAAAATTGTACCGTAAATATCAGGACAACAAGCCATTTGAAAAAAATGTATATTTCGAACGTTTGGCCGAAATTATAGCACAATACGGTCAACCTAATAGCAGCGGCTCAGGAAATAACAACAACAATTCCAATAACAATGATGCCAATCAAGCTGCACGGCCTCCCCAAGTATTATCACATAAAAAACAGAACATCATTTACGTAGAACTCTTAATCAAAGCCCATCAAGCGTTTGTACACGAATGTTCCATGGAGGGTATAGCAAATGTCCTAAATCGAGCTAAAGTTTTAAATTCAATACTTGCCCAAGCGAAATCTTGGTCCTTGATAGTGCGCATGTTAATAGGCATTGGACGTTATCGCGAAATGTTCTTTTGTTTCGATACTCTTATAGAAAATGAACAATTTGAATCTCTACTGGGACAGTTTGATGTCGAGAAGACTATTGGTTTGAGACAAGCTATTTTAGCTTATCTACGTGAATATTGTGATCCTCAGCAGGGTAAAGAACTTTTTAACTTAGCCGCTCTAAACTTCTTGATGTACAAAGACTTGGCCGAGTTATGGGAACAAGATGCTGCAGAAATATTGAATAAAATTTATAACACATACCACTTGTCTGATGATGTCGACTGCAAATTAACAAAACTTAAATGTAATTCGGATATGATTAATCTACTTAATTCATCACTGGAATATTATGTACATGCTACCGAAAATTATTTGCTAGACAATAAGCTTTTGCTGGCTCAAAAAAGTGCCTCGCTAGCTGAACTAACAGCCATGCAAATAGATTTGGCTAATAGAGCTTTAGAAAAAGCAACATCGCCAGGTGGTCTTCATCTCTGCATATGCGTGATAAACCTTAAAACGAGGGAACAATTTAAAATATTGGTCAACAATGAATTAAGGTATTTATTTATTTATCTATTGCTCCAAAATATTAGAAATAACCTTTACTTAGTGGTCCTCAGAATATATAGATAGATAGATAGATAGATAGATAGATAGATAGATAGATAGATAGATAGATAGATAGATAGATAGATAGATAGATAGATAGATAGATAGATATAGATATAGATATAGATATAGATATAGATATAGATATAGATATAGATATAGATATAGATATAGATATAGATATAGATATAGATATAGATATAGATATAGATATAGATATAGATATAGATATAGATATAGATAGATATAGATATAGATATAGATATAGATATAGATAGATATAGATATAGATATAGATATAGATATAGATATAGATATAGATATAGATATAGATATAGATATAGATATAGATATAGATATAGATATAGATATAGATATAGATATAGATAGATAGATAGATAGATAGATAGATAGATAGATAGATAGATAGATAGATAGATAGATAGATAGATAGATATAGATATAGATTATAGATAGATAGATAGATAGATAGATAGATAGATAGATAGATAGATAGATAGATAGATAGATAGATAGATAGATAGATAGATAGATAGATAGATAGATAGATAGATAGATAGATAGATAGATAGATAGATAGATAGATAGATAGATAGATAGATAGAGATAGATAGATAGATAGATAGATAGATAGATAGACAGTTAGATAGATAGATAGATAGATAGATAGATAGATAGATAGATAGATAGATAGATAGATAGATAGATAGATAGATAGATAGATAGATAGATAGATAGATAGATAGATAGATAGATAGATAGTAGATAGATAGATAGATAGATAGATAGATAGATAGATAGATAGATAGATAGATAGATAGATAGATAGATAGATAGATAGATATAGATAGATAGATAGATAGATAGATAGATAGATAGATAGATAGATAGATAGATAGATAGATAGATAGATAGATAGATAGATAGATAGATAGATAGATAGATAGATAGATAGATAGATAGATAGATAGATAGATAGATAGATAGATAGATAGATAGATAGATAGATAGATAGGTAGATAGATACTATTTACGATCTTTTCTTCTTCTGCATGAAAATTATTTGAGAAAGAAAGTTATACTATTTACTATTTTTTCCTGTGTACACAGAAACGCAAAACTCCTTCATTATTAACAAATTTAACTTCTTTTTTAAGTGTATCTCAAACATTAATTCTAAGTCGAGCTTATGCATACGATATCAATTGGTCGGAAGCTTTAATATATCAATTTGTTATAAAATTAAAACGATCATACTTGAACGATTTCTTACAACAGGTGGATATAACCGATGATATTATTGAAAATGCCATAAAATGGTTAGTCACTTTGAGACCATCAAATACCTGTATAGATTTTTAATCTGATCATTACATTATTTTATTTTAGTTTTCAATTACAATGTAATCAACAGACAATAAGCAAAGAAATGGAAGCACATATTACTGAACTGATAGATTTGGTGCAATCAGTTACACTCAAATATAAGCTAGCATCTCTACTGACTCTCAAAACGACAATATTATCTTTAATTAATGATCAAACTATCCACTATCTAAGAGATATGAAATTTGGTCGCAGAGAAGAAAATCGAAATACTTAAAAGAAAATTAAAAATTTATTAACCAATACAAATGAATTATGCTGCAATTATCTTATAGAGAATATATGTCTTCATTTTATAAAGTTTATAATAATTAAATATTTTTTAGTAATACATAAATAAATTATTTACATATTTGTTATATTAAAATTTTTTTCTTTAATTACAAAAAATACTTCTTGAAGAAGTTAAAACTAATAAATCGACCATCTTGATCTGTTTTTGGAATAGAAGGTAATAAATTGGTGAAGAAAAAAATCATATTTTGTTTATAAAATTTAAGTAGTTTTATTAATAAATTAAACAAGGTAATATTCTATAATTATCTATGTAATGTTTTTTATGTGTTGAATATTTATTTAATGACATTTTGCTTATTTTTTATTGTATTCTAAATGTATTCTTTATCTTTACTAAACTTGATTTATTTTAGTTTTTCAATTTTCATTAAATTAGGTCCAAACGCAAAAAAAAAGAAGAATATTATTTTAGATTTTTAAATGTGTGTATGTTATATTTAAGTATTCATTAATAAGAAGAATGAGTAAGGAGAGTATTTAAATGATTGCCTACATCCATCCATTCATTCGTTCTAATTATGTTTAACGTCCTCATAAAAGGCTGGTAGCTCCGATTGTAAACGCAATAAACGCACATATGTTACTAGACGCCAATCCTGCGGATCATCATTCGTCTGAACAAACGTTGAAGTATAGGAGACTAGCTCTTGTGAGCCATCCTGATCTAGATCAGCTATTATCATAGAATTTTCTTGATTATTTAGATCGGGCTGGCAGACAACCTCTTTACGATCGTTGCGACAAAATTGTACAATATTACTTTGCGAGGTATTCTCAATGCGTGTATCGGCACCAATAAATAAAACCAATATTACCGTTTCCGTTATGCGTTGCATATTGTAATTATCCATTAACAAACCTCCACCACTAGACGACTTTTGTTTTGTACCATTTGTTGAGGGTGAAGTACTGCGCTTAAAGCGCATAGTTTCCAATTTTATATTATATGATTCTCTACGCTGGATAAGATGATCGAATGCATCAAATTCTTCATTGGTCGTTTGATTGTCGGTCAGGTCACGGCGTCGTCGTTCATTTTTGTGATCACTATTAGCGCGAGTATTACTTTGTACGTGATTCTGTTTAAAAGAGGATTTGGTTGCATTATCTTTAGGGGTTTTTACTGATTTCGATTTTGATTTGGACGTCTGTGTCTTTTGAAATGTTTCATTACCACGAGGATTACTATTAGATGTTGCCGCTTGAGTATTTGTTGTTTCTGAGCTTATATTCCACTTCCAAAATTTCATAACAAAGCCCGACATATTGGGCTTGGTATTTTTAAAATGCCATTGGGCGGGTACCATGCCATACATACCACTGCTAGTGAAATTACGCAGTGTAAAGACTTTGCCATTGCGATTTTCACTCAGAATTAGTGTGACATTACAATCCTCTGGACATTTGCCGCGATTTTCTACCACTAGTTCTCGGCCGCTCAGAGAGTAAATATTACGTTGAGAATCTATATCTTTGCGTTGGCCATAGTGGCGATGTTGGGAAATTTTTGAAGCAGGCACAAGTTTTTGACCCATTAACGACTTGTTGGTTATAAGGGAGAACAGTTCAGCCAATGTTTTTGAGCGCTGAGCTTCTGTGTTGTTATGTATACAATTAAAGGAAACTGTCTGAGCATTTTCCAATTGTAATTTGCGTAAAGTATCACACTCTATAACTTTGAAACCATCACCTATGGGTTGACCACTACGACCCGATAATATTCTCAAAAAATTTCTTTGCTCGAGGCTGTGACCATTTTTATTAGCCACATCGCCTTTACGCATATAATGTTTAGTTCTTTGCTCCAACGTAACACTTGTAACCAACAAAATATCCATAACGCCATCGTTATCCAAATCGGGTAAAATGACGGGAAAATCAAGTGCATCAACTTTATGTACAGATCTTTCCTTAAATTTCCAATGCCATTGACCTGATACAGGATTTATGGCACCCAACTCGCCATACTCATCAATGACTAAACAATCAGGACGACCATTACGATCGACATCTAGTAAAGTACAATCTATAGCTACAGGTTCATCGGTCATCTCATCAAACCAAGCGACCGCTCCTGAGCTGCCAATTAGCGATATAATTCCGTTACGTTTGGAGTTGTCCGGTCGAAATTCGGGAAAGAAAGCATCACCACGATATAAGAATATCAAATTATTCTCCCAACTACGCAGACCACTCACGATATTTACACCACCCTTTAGTTCGATTTTAGTGTAATTATTATACCAATTATGGGTTTTTATGCGATCAACTGGCGCCGGACACGAACCATCCTCACTGCAGGGTATTACCCAAACAAATATAATTACCGTAAGAACGCACAACAAAAGCGATGCAATGAAACAGCAACGTCGGGCCGGTGACATTGGCTCATTCAACTGCAGATCTTTGGTTGATTCACTGCCACCCAATATGGCCACATTATCAGCATCCGTTTGATTACGTTCATCATAATCACTGTTGAAACTTGAGAAATTATTGGTCGCATCACAGGGACCGCCATTGGCATCGGCATTACTGCCCATATCCGACATCATAACTGAACGTAGATATGTATTTTGCATGCTGTTATTTTGAATGCTGTTCTTTTTATGTATCCCGTTCGCTGCAAAGTTAGATTTAAATATTTAGTAAAATATTTTTGTAATAATTATTCTAAAAGAGCTTTAGTAATATTTAAACGTTTAATTATGAATTTAGTTACAGAACACGTTCATTGCAATTATAATGAATTTTTTCATTATAATGTAGTTGTCGCATATGGACAAATCCAAATACATATACAAAATATTATCTACTGTTTACATACCCACTGCTGTAGTAGTTCCCACTTTTATTGAATTGGGATATAAATTTCTTTCCAACTGTCGTTGACGTTCAATTTGCAATTTACGACGATTTTGCTGATACGACTTTGGTTGTAAATTAAGTGTTGTGGGTGGATTGCGTCGATTATTCGTATTTATTATATTCAAATCGAGTCGTTGTTCTTTTTGATGTTGCTGTAGAAATTGTTTTTGTTGTTCCTGTAACTGTCGCAACGGACAATGTTTGGTTGAATTGTGAATTTCTTCTTCAGAATCAGAATCTGTCATCGCCTGGCTCAGTGGAGCATAGATGGCCTGATGTTGTGGTGTTTCCATTGAAAGCATTTTAACTATATGTGTACACCAAAAAATATGTATGTTAATTGAGAAAAATCAATACTACACACACCACACTACATTAACATTCATATATGGAAATAATATTCATACCAAAACTCTAACGTAAATATTGTGTTTTTGTCTCAACATCCACATATTTTGTTTATTTAACACATACAGAATGGAATTATAGAATTTATAAATATGCAATTTTATTGCGTTTTGTTTATTTATTTATGAATATTATAAATTTTTAGAAGAATAACATTAAAGAACGGATACAACTTAACAGTATTTATTTTTACAAAGAGAATGGTTGTAAATAATGGTCTTATATAAATACTACTATTTTTAACAATACTGAAGTGTTAATAAAAAAGTAGTTACCAGACTAATGATTATAATTTGGGTGTTTCCGTCAAACTTTTGTCTGCTATTTGTATTCATTGCCCCGGTTCTGCATTTTTCTCATCGAGGAAAATTTTAGGAAAAGATTGAAATCAAAATTGTAATATAGTTTAATTAGCCTATTGTGGCTTTTTATATTACTTGTTTGAATAATTAAATAAAAATATAATTTTAAATAAATTAAGTGAATTAAATAAGTAAAATAAATAATATAAACAATAAATAAAAAATATGAAAATTTATAATAAAATTAAGAATAATATTATTATATATATTATGTATATACATATATACAAATCCTGCTATTTTTTCCATATCGTTAAAAATTTTAAAAACATTTTATGTCGCTGACGAAATTTTTAGTATCTGCGCCGATAACATTTGTTGGCACAGGTCTCTAAAAAAGGCATTTTTTCACCCCAAAAAAAACACACAAAGAACTGGCAACTCCACACACAATCAATAATTTTTTGTGCAAACAGATTAAAAATAGGCATTTTATTTTTCGCTGTGACGCTTTTTATAAAATTCTGTAAAAATTAATAAATTAAAGAAAAAAAGAATGGTGCGTGGCGGTATGCGAGGCGGTCGCCCAATGCGTGGTCCAATTAGGCCACCATTTAAGAAAACCTTTGTACCACGACATCCGTTCGATTTGACTCTTGCCGAGGTAGTTTTTCCCAAAGTGTCTCCCGCTGTCGATGATGGAGCTTTAACTGCGGTAATAAAAAATAATAATTATACAAAAAATAGAAAATCCTCAATATAATAAGTATATTTTCAGTCATTGTTAAAGCGCAATCAGGATTTAAGTCCAACTCCGGCCGAACAGACTGCTGTGGGCAATCTAGTATCTAAAGTACAATCTGTGCTCGATAATTTAATTGTGGCCCCGGGAGATTTTAATAAATGTGTAAGTAATCTATAGCTGTAATCAGAGTATAATAATTTAAAAATCATTTTGTGGTTTCTAGCAATTGGAGGAAGTTCGTCAAGTTGGTTCATTTAAGAAGGGCACCATGTTGACTGGCAACAATGTGGCCGATATTGTTGTTATTCTTAAAACGGTACCCTCAAAAGAATCCGTTGAGGAATTAGGCAAAAAAGTAGAGGCTGATTTGAAAAATGCCATGAAAACTGAGGTGCTCACCAAAGCTGATCACATCAATACTACCTTCCATGATCGTGGTTTCGACATATTCAATACACAGGCTAAAGTGCGCATACTTATTACGACCATACCGCAGAATATGAGAAAAAGTGAACCGAACATGTTTCCTGATCCAAAAGTAATGCAAGCTCACTTGGCAGCTATAAGGCACACACGTTGGTTCGAAGAAAATGCCCATCATTCATCTATTAAAGTGTTAATACGTATACTCAAAGATCTCTCCAAACGTTTTGATGCTTTCTCTCCTCTGTCTCCTTGGATGTTAGATTTAATGGCACATTTGACTATAATGAATAATCCCTCGAGACAAGCTCTCCCCATTAATCTAGCTTTCAGACGTGTTTTCCAATTGCTATCGGCTGGTCTTTTCTTACCAGGTTCTGCTGGTATAACAGACCCCTGTGAGCCTGGTCATAATCGTGTCCACACCGCCATGACTCTGGAAGAACAAGATTCTTGCTGCATGACTGCCCAAACTTTGCTACGTATTTTAGCTCATGGCGGTTATAAGCAAATTTTAGGCATGGAGGGCAATTCTAACATTGTTAAGGACATGTCTGTGTGGAATGGAGTTGTGGTATCACCACTGGAAAGGGTCTATGAGAAGCCTACGGACAAAAAGGATGGCGAAGGTGATGAAGATATGGAAACAGTGGAAAACGATAATGTCATGGATGAAGACTCCGGCGATCAGTAATATACCAAAAACACAGCGTTTTTATATCTCTATAAAGTAAAGCACTTAAATAACCCAATATTTATTTTCCATTTAAAAGGTATTTGAGATTATCAAAATAATACAAGCGCAAAATTGTGTAAATTAAAACAACTTTTAATTTGAAAATCTTTAATTTTCACTATAATAAATCAAGAAATTTGTATTAAAATTTCGATAAGGAATGAATTATTAATTTAATATTAAGGTCTTACAACTAAAATTGTGTACTTTCCATTTTAATTATAATATCCCACGTTAAAGGATTATCTCTTTCAATATCATCACTAAGTTCAGAACCCACAACGTTATCAATAAATTCAGCGCTTATACCATTAGGTTCGCTGACCTTTATACACAAATCTTCCATATTTATAATACGACCAGCTTTTAAATCTTGAGATGCCACAATAGATTTACCCAATTTTATACGACAATCCATTTCACAAGGTAGAATGCACCTCTCTTCTCTACCATTAGGATCAAATGAATCTAAAGCTTCCTTAATACTTGGTGTTTTTGGCAGTAGCGCAAGAATTTCATTGTCCAATAGTTCCTGTGGATTAGACTTAACATTTAACATTAACTCATTTACATCCTCTATTAACTTGGCCATTTCTGAGGGTTCTAGAGAACATTTGTGATCGGAACCTTTTTGTTGTTTATCCAAAGTAAAGTGTCTTTCTATTATTCTAGCACCTAGTAAAACAGCTGCTTTGGAAATGTCTACGCCAAGTTCATGGCCTGAGTAACCAATCACACAATGAGGAAATTTATTTTTTAAGGTGGTAATCATTTTTATTTGGGAATTTTTGGCTTCCGTTGGATATGAGGAAACACAGTGCATTAAGGCGTAATTTGTTTTCTTTGCATTGTTCATAATTTCCGCAATACGTTCGATAGTTTCCATTGTTTGCATGCCCGTTGATATAACAAGAGGACGCTCCAATTTGGCGGCTTTTTCTAAAAGTGGAAAGTTATTTGCATCTCCAGAGCCAATTTTAATAAAAGGAACATTTAGCATATCCAATTGTTCTAAAGAAACCTAAAAAATAGTGGTTAATGAAAATAGCTGCTCTGAAACACTCAACAGCAACGTTTTATATAACAGAAAATCAGCAACGAGATTTAAAAGTTATGGGGAAGAAGAAAATAATCTAGTCTATTAGTATGAACAAGACTATAGTCCAAACTTATAGACATAAATTTTTCAACAAAATGTTAAAACAAGGCTACAGTCAGTATATATGTATGTATATTTCATTTTAGACTATAGTAGAGACTCTAGACTATAGTCTATATCCTAGTCTAGATTATGGTCCAGACTCTATACTAGATTATACTCCAGACTTGATTATAGTCCAGGTTCTAGACTAGATTATAGTAAAGAGTATAGATTAGACTAGACGATAGTCCAGACTAGACTATATACTAAAATGTAGTCAATACTATAGTGCAGACTAGACTTTAGTTAATAGTATAGACCAGACTGTATTCCAGATTATGGACTACACTATAGTCCAGACTATAGACTAAAATTCATTCCAGACTATAAAAATACTATAGTCCAAACTATAAAAAATACTATAGTCTATAGACTATAAAATAGCCGTTGTATGTATGTAGTATAGGCTATGTATATAAATTTTGCTGTTGTAGGGTATGTAAATGATATTTACCTCGTCCATGGCAGAAGCTGTAAAATCAATACCAATTTCTTTGCAAAAACATTGCAACTCATGATACTGTTGTATGTTGAACTCCAAATACTGCTTATGTTCACCATACGTTTTACCCCACGAATGTATACTTTCATATGGTCGACTTAATGCTGATTCGGTAAATTTTGCTTCAAGACATGATTTTTGAAATTTAACACAATCACAGCCAATTTTCTGCAAGACAAACAGATTTTAATAATACACATATGTACATACATATATGTACATAATTTTAGTTATTGTAAGCATTCGACAATCGATAATACATGTATGTACCTTTGCCTCTAAAATCATTTTTTTAGCCAATTCTAAACATCCTTGATGATTCTGTCCGATTTCTGCTATAAAATACACTTTATTCCCATCTCGTCTGATCAAAGTTTCGCCCAAATTTAGTGAAATCATTTTTTATTTAGTTAATTTCTGAAGATCCTTGAAAATATAATGATCAATTATTTCTTAACTATTTATTAATTGAATTTAAAAATGTTTGTTTTGTAAAAGAAAGACTTAAAATTAAGAATGGTTCTTTAGTTTCTTTAGGATGTTAAAAAAGCCGAAATAAAATCTTAATTAAAGCTTTAAATATCACATGATCATTCATATGAGACACTTCTTTACCTACTTATACTGCTGCTGTTTTTTTTTTTTAATTTGTAATAAATGCCTTTAGTATAAACTTTTCAAATATTTTATTAGTGATATTTATTATTATAAATAAAGGAAGTGATAATATTTTTACATTAATTTTTCGCTAAAACGACGAATCTTTTACTACAATAAAAAATCTGGATGTGATAATCACAAAGTACTTTGTGGTAATGTTTACTTTGACATATATTTAATAATAAAAAAATGTCAAATGAGTAACTGTCATTTATTAATGGCCCATCCAACGAACAAAACCACTTTTATATTTCTATCACAATTAGTTACGATGAGGGTATATATAATTTCGCGTTGATACACTCCCCGATATATTTATAAGACCAAAATGATTTTGGTCGTAAGTCGGGAACTATTGGTGCAATTATCGAATAATTTGGCAAGCATATTTGTTGAGCTAATGTACATTTTTGTGGTATAAAAAAATAAGATTCGGTTATTTAATATTGAAAATAACGGTACTTAAAATGTATATTCGAACGAAATAATTATAAGACCAAGATATTTTTTTCAAAAATTTATGGGTTATTGTACGTATTTTTAATAAAGAGACTAAACCTGTATTTCATCGTATTTTTGTATTCATTTTATTTTTATGAAAAATACTTTAACATATTTGATTAAAAAATAACCTTCATAAAAAATGTTTAATTAAAATTTTACGTTGAGATATTGCGGGGTAAAATTTTAATATAATTTTTATTTAATGAACTTGTGCTTTTTAATTAAGTTGTGCTTTTTTTCGAAGTTTATATAAATTTTCAGTACAAATATACCTACTTCAAAATTAATTATGGATAGTAATGCTCCTAAGTTTTTAAAATATATACACCCTGTGTTGATTTTTGAATTTGAAAAGCAAAATAGTAAGCCAGATACAAAATTTCAAAGAAAATTGCACAACTAATTTATTGAAATTAAAATATTTGTATAAATATATAATTTTACTTAAATTGTTTAATTTCAATTTAAAAAGTTAAATTTATTTTGTTTTTTTTTTTTCAAATATACATATTTTTTCGATTCGAAAAAAAAATTATATTATAATCTTCCACTTAAACAGATTGATTAAGGTAATTTTTAAACAGAACACATTAAAATTTAACTGAAAATACCCTAAATTATTGTATTCACCCTGTGCTTGTCGCTGTTAATTTTGCTCGGCGAAGGAGTCTGATATTTGTTTTTCTTTTCCGAAGATTTTTTGTAAAATAAAATAAAAAGTTATTTATATTATAATTACAATTTCTAGTATTGAAAATATAATTTAAATATTTTCTATATCTATATTTCTATTATATTAATTAAAAATATATTATAAATTTTTAACAGTATGATTTAGACAATTTTTAAACTAAACACATACAAATTTTACAAAAAATATATTGTAGTATAACAGTTTTTACTTTAATTTATTTATTGATTTAAATCATAATTGTTAATATTAAATTTTTATTTGTATGTAAACTATTCATAAGTAGAAATTTATAACCGATTATGGCTTATATAGATAGGCTAGGTAATAGGAATAAAGAAATTGACAATGAAAAATAGTTACATTTTCCTAATCACTCTGTTTCATAGAAGACGATTAAAAATTTTAAGAGAAAATGGTTGTCCATTCCAATTTTTTTAAGAAATTTAGCCGGCTTACAGAAAATTCACAACGCCGCCGAAAATTTTAGTGTCAACCTCCAACGCAGTTAATTTTGGTCGACGCAGGTCTTTGTGTGTTCGTTCGTTCTTCGAATTCGCCTTCGTTTCTGGTAGCTGTGAAAAAATCTATTAAAAATATTAAAAAAATAAGAAAACGAGGGACACACATTACAAATTTTGCAAAATAATCAAGTGAAAAACATTAAATTCAATTAATTCGAAAGCCAAAAGCATTCGAAAAATAAAAAATAGACAAATTTGCAAGTTGAAAATAATAGAAAAAATAAACCCACCAATCAAACGAACGACGACCGACCAACGCTCGATATATTAAAAGAAAGAAAAAACGCAGCAAAAAGAGAACAAAAGAAAAAAAATATGGTTGACATAATAAATATTGACAGCATCATATCACGGCTCTTGGAAGTGCGTGGGGCTAGGCCTGGCAAGAATGTACAATTGTCGGAGAGTGAAATAAGAGGCTTGTGCCTTAAATCACGCGAAATCTTCTTGTCTCAACCTATACTGTTGGAATTGGAGGCCCCATTGAAAATTTGCGGTGACATTCATGGTCAGTACTACGACTTATTGCGTTTGTTTGAATATGGTGGTTTCCCACCCGAGTCAAATTACTTATTTTTGGGCGATTATGTTGATCGTGGCAAGCAGTCCTTGGAAACAATTTGCTTACTGTTGGCTTACAAGATTAAGTACTCGGAGAATTTCTTCTTGTTGCGTGGTAATCACGAATGTGCCAGCATCAATCGCATCTACGGCTTCTACGATGAGTGCAAACGTCGCTACACCATTAAATTGTGGAAAACATTTACCGACTGCTTCAATTGCTTGCCGGTAGCTGCCATTGTGGACGAGAAGATATTCTGTTGCCACGGCGGTCTCAGTCCAGATCTCACAACCATGGAGCAGATCCGTAGAATTATGCGTCCCACTGATGTACCAGACCAAGGTCTATTGTGCGATTTGCTGTGGTCCGATCCCGACAAAGATACCATGGGCTGGGGTGAGAATGATCGTGGTGTAAGTTTCACATTTGGAGCAGAAGTTGTAGGTAAATTTTTACAGAAGCATGAGTTTGATTTGATTTGCCGTGCCCATCAAGTGGTAGAGGACGGATACGAGTTCTTTGCAAAACGCCAATTGGTTACACTGTTTTCGGCACCCAACTATTGCGGTGAGTTTGACAATGCAGGAGCCATGATGTCCGTAGACGATACTCTGATGTGCTCTTTCCAAATATTGAAACCAGCTGATAAGCGTAAAAAGTAAATGATGATTTAGTTAACTACTAAAAAGCGAAATACTTCCTTTGTAATTGTACATCAACATCATACAAACAAAACATAAACACAAACAAAAATATAAATAGAATAAAACAAAAAACATCCTCCCACTAAACCCTTATCTCCTTTTATTCCCACAAATTTCAGAAGCTATCTTCCCAACACCCACCTTTAATTGGACACTATTAATCATTCATATCTGCTCTTTACACCACTTTCCTCTCGTCAACTTTTACTTAATCCTACAATCATTTCTAATGTCTTGCATGATAGAGCATGTACAACTTTAGTTTAAACTAAAAACATTGGATTTGAATCGTGTAATATTAAACAAAATCTATGTTTTAATCAAATGTGAGTGATTTTTTATGTGAAGATTTCAAGTATTTGCCAAAATAAAATTAAATTAGACATCATGACACACAAAATACAAACAAATTAAGATCTTTTTACTCCAAAATACGGCACATAGTTTTAAAACTATGTATAATAAAGAATTGAACGTAAAATATTTAGTAACAGCAAGAGGATGTGTTGCATATGGAATAGAGTGCAGTCATCAATATTTATAAAATGTAGTAGACTATTGGTTTTTTCTGCTCTAATTTTTCTATTTTCTACTTGTATTATTAGATTATTTTTTATTTAAAATATTGGACGTGTTTTTTTTTCTAATTTCTCTACATATACCTTTATAACTTGTATTCTTATCAAATTTACTTATAAATTTAAAATTTGACCGATTGATCTAATCTATAAATTGACCTTCCTCCCCCACTCCCCCGTTTTCCCATCCACATACTTTTTATGATGTAAACAAAACAAAAATACAAAAACAAGATGTGTTTTATATAAATATATTTTCAACTAAAAAAAAAACAAAAGAAAACAAAAATATTCATTAATTATATTCAAAATCTGTATTATTAAAACAACTACATGAAAATATCCTTTATATTGAATAAAAATAAAATAAAACTAAAAATGTAAATTAAATATGAATTTAGTTCTTAGCAAACTCAACATTAAATACTTTCTCACATACATATAGCTTAAAATAACAATTTCAACAAAGAAAATTCCACTTAATTAATATGTAAATATCTATGATTTCAGTAATGGTATCCTTTCATTTTGCATTTAAAACGTATTACTCATTTTGCCTCAAAAGATTTTTTCTTTAATATCCAATTTATTAACGCAAATGCTATTTTTGGCTTATAAAAACAGCAATAACATGATTAACTCAACCATTTGTACTTACTCACAAACTGTGGATACTATTCTCTGATTTTATTATAATACGTATTCGCAACAAATTATACTACATAGAAATAATATGAAAATATATAGATACGTACACAACACACTTCACACTTTTATTAGAAAAATTTTATTTTCGAACACACCCATACACATACACAAATATTCAATGTATACTCACCATTATTGTGTTTATCTTAATTCCAATAGTGGTATGTACATATATATATCGAATTGATAATCGAAAATTTAATATTTGCAGCTAACACCATGAAGTAAATTTATAGTTCTCGGTTAAGTGGTCGACACATATTAAGATGGGATTTAAAAAAATTGTATAACCGAATTTAGCTCCTTAATATTTTAAAGTTGTTAATCAGTCTTTTATATACATATGTATAACTAACTCAAATGTGCTAAAGATCGAAATGAATTAATGCTCTGACTACTCATTCAAAATCTTAATGCTTTCGCTATACATTCTATAGAGTTAATCCTCAAGATAACGCATTCTTCGTAGGAATGAATTCTACTGAAAGATCATTATTATTGTTATAACTTGAATAAAAGAACAACTTTTAATGCGAACGAACATGGCTAGGTAAAATAATGAACCAACTTGAACATCTTATCTTAAAAATTGCGACCTGTTGTTTGATTACAAGGATTACATGGACAAACGGATAGATTCTGAAATGATTCTCAGCCGAATAGTATTTTTGGTGGGTGTAAAACCAATATCTATTTACATTACATATATCAGCACAAACCCATTGGAGGGTACCTCACTAAAGTGTTGTAGGGCAGGCATACAAAATCGAATTTTTTAAATAGTACTAAAGTAATTTTTTAGGTTTTAAAGTACTAAACTAATTTTCAGCTAGACAAGATAGAAAGACTATTGACTAGACTGGAGACGAGATTATACTCTACACTATAGACTAGAATATAGACTGTACAATAGACTTAACTATATTACAGACTATACAATAAACCAAACAAGGCTATAGACTATATTATATATTAAACAATAAAATCCCAGCAAAAAATAACTTCCAAAGAAACGAAAAAGAAATAGAATTTTCTCCATGGAAGTACTTGAAAAGACCTGGAGAAGTGATAATTTTAACACAGACTTGTCATAGGAGGGATGTTCTTTTTATTTGATTCCAAATTCTCTACTTCTCAAGAAGTCATTTTTATGCTATTTTTTGGAAGTTATTTTAAAGTGAAATTGTATTACAAAAAATGTTTAACTCTTAAAAATGTAAGAACAAAAAAATATATCTTTAGCATTGAAAAATAGAATTATTTTCGCTTCTTCGGAAGTCCTTAAACATCACCTCCACAAAAAGTATAAAAATTCTCTTGTGCTACTTTTGAAGTGGTGATACATGCTTTGGAAGTACTTCCTTTTATTTTTGCTGGGATAAGATAGACTGGACTATAGATTGGTCTATTGACTACTCTGTTAATTATTAACTACTCTGTTAATTATTCATCAACAGTTTTTAAAAAGAACCAAAAAGGTCGTAGGGATACCGCGGTACTAAGTACTGCATTTTTCATGCCTGGTGTAGGGTATAATATAGCGATAGATTCAAATCTATATTTCATATATTTTAATAACACCTTAAAGTAGGCTATGAAAACTAATGTCTGCCATATATTACCGTTATTGCTTAAAAAACCTCCAGTAACCATATCATTATGTCAACTTGCAATGCACTGAAGTGGCAACCGAGCTACAAAATCGACCGATATCTGTATTTGCACCAACTCCAATTTAGAGTCAAATCAATAAACGTACTTTCTACTACTTTTTAAAAAAGGTAAGTGTTACAAAAAAAGTTTTCACGCACTACATCTTTGTTAAGAAAATACCCAATACATAATTTTTATATTAATGAAACAAATCTATGTAGTTTACTTTTATAATAGTTTTATTATGGTATATTTTAAATCCATAATAAATGGATCGAATCTCCTTAAAGCGTTACTAAAGCATATTTTTAAGTTTTAAAAAAAATCATATACTATGTAATCGATTTCTCAATAGCAAACCGACAATATACGTTTAGGGTTTTATTCAGCACTAGTCGAAACCATTTCATTTTGTACAGCATCTCCTCCTCCACTTGCAACAGCTTGTACATTCGACTCCGTAATATGAGTGTTCTGAATACCTTCTTCTAGAGCAACAACTTCCGAATATTCTGCAACAGGCTGATGACTTTGCTCAACTGGTGGCGGCATATTGACATCTTCGCCCTCTTCTTTAGCACCATTACTGTCATTAAGGTTGACATCGTTTATGGATTCATTATGTGAAGAAGGTTCTACTAGTAAATCTGGATTGATGCCACGAATAATTTCAGTTAAACGTTGGATTTCATTGCGCGCATCATCCAGTTCACTCTGTAAATAGGCTATATTGTCGGCCTGAAGACGAGCATCTCCTAGATTTTGTAGCAAATATTGAGTGGGATCTTCTGGACGTTCCTTAAGAATGCGTACAAATACTTTTGTAAGCGATTCAATTATTCCGCCACGCTCCAAGTAACGTCTATATTCATCTCTTTTAGGATCGATTGGCTAGAATTATGAAAATGTACAATTAGTTACCAAATGTAGAACGTGTTGGCAAAAATTTCCATTTTCCCATATTTACTTTAAATGCCATATTGTCGGCTTTATTGTTAGCAATGGACGGTTCGTTTAAAAAAATACAACGCGTGTATGAAGTTACAATTCTAATTCAATTTTCTTTTCACTTAAAAATAACTGTTCTATTTAAAGAAACTGGAATGCTAAAACATAAAAAAACTTCTTTTTTGTATATGCAAAAATAATGGGTAAACAAAAAATGTTTCTGGCTCAGAGTCCTGCGTCGACAAAAATGAACGACGGCGGTGGCTGACACGAAAAATTGCGCCGGGGCCTAGATTAGTTTTCAGCTTTTTTAATTTTTCAAGTATATTAAATATAAATGGAATCCGAGTGATACAAAATTGGAATTTTTAAAGCAAATATTTAAAAAATTGGGATTATTTAAACTGTCATATATAAAACAGGGACTTAATACAATTTGCAAAAAATAGATAATCAAAAAATGTTTCTGGGCTTATACAAAAATTTGCTTACAAAATTGCCACTTGTTTGGAAATAATAGTGTTTCTGAGTATGATATACATAATGTAGTGTTGACAACGCTTTATAATATTGGTGGGAATTTATACCAGATCGAAATCACCGTTATGAGGCACAAATTGTGGTAACATAATCGTTACCAACAAATCTTAGAATTAACCCTACAACCAAATTTAATCTAATATGAATAATAAAATAAATATTTGTTATTTAATCTATTTCAAATTTACTGCCTGTTCCTCTAAATGCGAACGTATATTTCTTTCTCATTTTATAATGAAAAAAAAACTTGTTCGTTCGTATTTAGAGTAACAGGCCCTAAATGAAGCAAAATTTTTATAATTCAGAATGAATATAACATTTAATAAAAACGAATGAAAAACTTTAAAGTATGTAATAATTTAACATTTCATAGAAATCATTCACTGATGAATGAATTCAATTACATCGAAAGCTTTAATCTTAGGATATATAAAATTTCTGAAATTCTTAGGCACCTCCGTAATTCTTTAGAATTTATCAATTGCTGTTCCTAAGGGTTTCCTCTCCGCAGGCTCAAAATTCATCTGAATCCGTTCGACCAATTTTGTGTAGTTGTGCCCGTAATTCTGTGTATCCACTCAGAATACGTCATACTAACTAACTAAAATTGTCTCGAAATTGTTTTTTACTATACATTGTCCTTCGATATCGTTGAAATCCAACGATACAGTAGCTCCCCTGTATTATTTGAAAATACTAAGAAAGCAGTGATGTATTCTTTTTACATAAAAATAAGAATATGTATATTTTATGAATACACAAGGTCTTTGTGTCTACTCATAATTATATGCGCATGTCTTTAATATATAGTACATACATATAGTTTGTCTAGAAGACAGTCCATAAACCATTTGACCAATAAAATAAACATTGGCAATTTAATAATTGTATTAAAAAGGTATTTAATTTATTTTAACAATCCTAAATTGCAAATTTTGAAACTTGAAAAATTTTCAGAATGAAATCATTAGAAAACACATTTGTTCGTGGGCCATCACCCTCATATTCAGACGAGGTCAACTCGGAGAACGTTATATCAGCTACACTACCCATTGGTTCTTTGCACCAAATGGAAAGGGAGACAGTAAAAGCACGAAACAATCATGACTTTTACAATTGTCATAGTCAACAGCAGCAGCATCCATTGCATCATTACGATGATGCCACTAAGCCTATTAAACAAGGACGCAATACTTTTGCATTTTGGACTATTGTCATCATACTTTTAGTACTGACGGTGGGTAATTTGCTGTTGACTTTAACGATTATAGGAGTTTTGCACTTGGGCAAAGGAATTCATGGCATGGAATTGATACCCGAAGAGGATGTAGTGAAGTTCTATGGAGACACCGATCTAGATCGTATATTCTCTAAAAACATTGGACAATTTGAGGGTTTCGCCGATGAACCAGTAACAATAACGGGTGAGGATGCGCCTGTCTATGTACGCATGCATCATCGCAACAGTCAGAGCGTCAATCGTATGGTCATGGATAAGATGGGTGTTCAGTTTCGTGGAATTAATAGTTTCGAGGTTAAAGATCCCATCAATGGTGATTCCATATTTACCACACATCGTCCGCATTACAATATACCACATGGTGCCGAGACATTAATATCCAAAACTAATAGCGCCAGTCGTATTGTTAGTCCTATCGATAAACCACTATCTTTATCATCTTCGGATAATCGCATATTTATAAAAGGATCCGAGGGCATTCACATGGATTCATCAAATGTCTATATGCAATCTGAAAATAATATTCAAATCAATTCGACTCAAGGCGGTATTTATCTTGAGGGAGGTTCGGCCGGAATTTTTCTGGACATTAGTAAAATTCCTATAGTTAATTCAGAATTGGGTCTACGCACAGGAAGTGTACAATACAAATTGTGCGTTTGTATGCCACAAGGTATTGTCTTTCGGATCGCCATACCACGTGTTCATAATGGTTCTAAGGTGTCTTGTGCTCATTTCAGTGGAAAACATGATCCATGTACTGTGAACTGAATTTTCATATCATAGAGATTAAAAATATAAGATATATATACTAATAATAATTATAAATATATTACCGTTTACTCCCATTTTATGTACTTAGAACACATATTTAAATTTAAATAAAAATATTAAAAAATATACATATAGCGAAAAATTTTTGTTCAGCATTTATATTCGTTTAAAGCTAAGTTTAATTTCCCAGAAAGAATTTTAAAATTAAATTCTATGCAAAATACTTAATGATACTGGCAAGGTCCACTTGCCTTTTTGTACCAAAACAGTTTGGTGCTCTCTTAACATGACATTTGTTGATTGACACCATGATTTCCTTGATCTAAACTGCATCGGATGATGTTATTTGTTTATTTTGAAAGATAGTATATAGTTCTAGTTTCTTAATGCGTGCATTTAAGATATTGATTTGATTTTCTCTTGCTTTCTTTTTTCCATTTAATTCGCTTACTTGGGCTACCAAAGTAGAAAGAATATTTGAAATTTTTAGAATTTCTGACGGTATTTGCTCCTTTAAATGCAAATTCAGCGTGTTAATCATAGTAGTGAGCACTTCTACTTGAGACTTTAAATCCTTAATATCAGATTTAATTTCTGAGATACCAGTTGGTATAGAACAAAGTATTTCCTCTTCACACTCTTTTGTTGTTGGGATTTCACTTTTACATTGATAGCAGAGATTGTGGCTCATCTTTATTATTTTCTTATATTTTCTTATATGTATTTTTTATTGGTTTTTGATTATTTTATTAAGCTTTGAGTTTTGTTCAATGACGCTAGCTCTCTAATCTATAATTATTGAAATTAGTTAACACTGGGTTCTATATTCTTAATCTATATACATATCGTTCATTTACTACAAGACTGGCATAATCCAAAATTAGGGTTTTTTAAACTGAGCGCTAGAAAATATGCTTCATACTAAAATCATTCATATAGATCAAATCAAATTTCAAATATGTGAGATCGATTTTTGTTGTAAACGTAAAAACTAAAGCTCATGTTATCACGAATATTAGACAAATAAATATTAAATTTCAATTTAGATTAGAAACATATGTATTAATCCTACTATTGGAATCTGGTTCAGTTTTTCAAATCCATTGACTTGTTTAAAAAACATTTTGCTCGAAACGACTTCTTTCGAATTATGCCAGTCTTGTAGTAAATGAGCGATATGTACAAACAATATTTAAGTACCGTAAGCGGTTTTATTAGTTACTTAGTCGTGTAAAAACATCTTGCAAGGATGTATAAAAATGGGAACAATAATTAACCCAATAAACCGAAGATGGTAAAAACAAAAAAATCTATCTATCTATCTATCTATCTATCTATCTATCTATCTATCTATCTATCTATCTATCTATCTATATATCTATCCATGTATCTATCTATCTATCTATCTATCTATCTATCTATCTATCTATCTATCTATCTATCTATCTATCTATCTATCTATCTATATATATATATATATCTATCTATCTATCTATCTATCTATCTATCTATCTATCTATCTATCTATCTATCTATCTATCTATCTATCTATCTATCTATCTATATATATATATATCTATCTATCTATCTATCTATCTATCTATCTATCTATCTATCTATCTATCTATCTATCTATCTATCTATCTATCTATCTATCTATCTATCTATCTATCTATCTAGCTATCTGTCCATCGGAATGCATTTAATTTTCCATAGAAGCTCTAATAATTATATGTGAGGGAATTCCTCTGAAGAATTAATGATACTTTAAAAGTTACTTCAATTCAAAAAAGTGGAAAAAGGAAATAAATTTTTGCAAAGATTTGGGCCTGATTTAATTTTTTAATAAATAAACATGAAAATAAATACCTTTAGATTGATGGTCGGCTTTTCTTCAGACTTAGATTCTTATAATCTTATTATCATTTATCGATAGGTCGCAGTGATGTTAAATTAACTGAAAACGTTGACAAACTTCGATCTTTGGATAAGCTGCAACTTGTTCAGCATGCGATAAATATTCTGTCAAATTTTAATTTAAATTCATAAAATGGCTTTAATTAAAACTCCAAAAACAACAACTGCTGGAAGACAATATTGAACTATGTTTATCCGCATATGCACATATTTACATTCCAAATTGGTAAATACCAGTAATGTTATATGATTGCAGCATATTAAAAGTTCAGTTTAATCTTTAACTCTCCATTTAACTAAAATTCAAAATTACATTTATTAACGTACATTTATATATTTAAATGAACTTCTGTTATCCACATAAAACTAAAATTTTGTTATTAACCTAAATATTAGTTTTTTAGTTATTTTTACAATTTTATTAAAAAGAAATTTAAACAGAAGAAAACCAAAAACTAATTGTAAAATTCTTATTCACATGAAAAAAAAAATATACAACAAGATGTGTAAGCTTGTAAAAGAAAAGTAGAAAAACAAACTAAATGGTTTTATAAATTCAATAAATCCTTAATTCATATTAATATATTAATTATACGTATTTAAATAACAAAATATCCGATTCGAATAAACTATAGATTAGATTACTTAAGCCTTTGGCTTATTAGATAATAAGTATAATTTTAACCTTTCTTTATTAAAACTCTGAATAAATTTAAAAAATATTCAAACGGTGAAATAAAAAGATTGAAAAAGCTTTGAGTTATCGTTTCCTAAAACTAAGATTGCTAGTGTAAAAAACGAAATCAAAATCAAATGGAAAATATATGTTTGTATGTGTGTATGTATGGTGCAGTGTATTGTTTGGCTAAAACAATATAAAATGATTCGTTAATCCTAAACTCCTGGCGGTGGTGGTTCTTCATAGCGTGTTGGTTTATTAGGTGTTATAACAATGTCGTCTGGTACCATACTAAGAAGCTCTGCTTCACTTAGTTTTGCCAATAGGCTAGTTGAAGATGTATTTGATCCTGTTGCTGAATCTGAAATAAAAATAGAGGCCTAGGTGTATTTCTTCGGATTTGATGTATATACATCCTCCTTTTAAACTAACTAACTAGCTAGTTCATATTCAGTTCGGTTCTAGTTTAGTTCTAGTTCAGTTCTAGTTTAATTCTAATTCAGTTCTAGTTCAGTTCTAGTTCAGTTCTAGTTCAGTTCTAGTTCAGTTCTAGTTCAGTTCTAGTTCAGTTCTAGTTCAGTTCTAGTTCAGTTCTAGTTCAGTTCTAGTTCAGTTCTAGTTCAGTTCTAGTTCAGTTCTAGTTCAGTTCTAGTTCAGTTCTAGTTCAGTTCTAGTTCAGTTCTAGTTTAGTTCTAGTTCAGTTTTAGTTTCAGTTCTAGTTCAGTTCTGGTTCAGTTCTGGTTCATGTTAAACTTCAGTTACTTACTTTTATCTTCAAATGTTGATCCCATACTCTCTGCTGGATTATATTCTTCCTCAGTAGCTGATGTAACCATAGCACCTGACGATGATTTTAATAGTGAACCTATTAACGGCGGTGGTGGAGGAACCACCGATTGATCTTTTCCTGTCGTCTTAATGCTAGCAAGGATTTGAGACAAGTTTGAAGGTATAGATATATTAGCTAGAACATTTGAAGATGAAGCAGAAGCTGAACCAAAGGCCTGTAAAGAAGTAAAACAATTAAATTTATGTTGTTGAAATCGAAGTTTAATATAATTTGTCTACCGTGGGCTCTCCAGTTAATAGGCCAGCAATTTCCATTTCTTGGGCTGCAATCTGTCTATTAATTTCTTCCATTTTACGTTTCAATTCATCTTCAGCTGCTTGCATATGGTCCACATTTGAGGGCATTTTAACTGGTAGTAATGGCAAGTCATCGTCAGAACTTCCACCGGGTGAATAAGGTTCATCGGCATCGTTTAATTTTGTTAATGGTGCCGCTATTGTTGCTGTTTGGGGTTAGGGAAGTTTGGATTTAAAACTTACTACTTTATTACTATTAATTATCAACTGAATATACCTTTTTGTGCTTTTGCTGCTATTGGTGCCTTAATTATGGCATCTATATCGATTTCATCGACTTTGTGAGTAGCAATTGTTTGGCGGTGTTTTTTAGGTTTCGGGCTACCAGGCGGTGTAAAGGTATCTGTATCATTAACACGATTAGAAAGCTTAATGGGGAAATAAAAGAACATTTGTTAAATATGGGTAGCTTCGTGGCGCTAATTGTTAATATTCACTTACTTTGTTAATCATCGAAGAAGTACCTGCACCACTTAGCACTGTTTGCGATGATATAGGATTAGCACGTTTGCTAACCACCACACGTATTATTATTCCAATCAACACGTCTGGCCTATAAGGATCGTCATAAAAATCAACCGGTTCACTAGGTTGCAATAGGGCGGGTACATTTTTACCCGCCCCCAAGGGATAAATGTAGAAATCTTTTATCTGAGATGATGTACTTTTAATGACACCTAAACGTTTACGATTATCTAAATACTCATAGAGTATTTTATAGGCAATGGTCTCGGACTCATTGGCTGGTATTAAACGTATAACAACTATTTCCTTATTGGGACTCTTTTTAATTTTCGATATATAATCCCACACGGTCTCCGGACCAATACGTCCCACTACGTCCAGTTCTTTGGGCAATAGTTTTGCCAAACCAATTGAATTACCGACAATTGGTTGAAGGGTAAGTTGAAACGAGGTAACATCTACCATATTTATGTTACCAGTCCATAATGATGTGACAGTATACTGTAGATCACTAGAATAGGACGAAGAGGGACTTGAGCAGGCAATAAAGCGCGAATAAGGATCATGAGGCGGTGTTGGTATTGAAACCGTACTTGAAGGTTCCTGATCACTTTCTGTTGAACTCAAATTCGAGGGTATATCAACCACAATGGCCGAATCGGCACTACCACTGCTGGTTGAGACGGTAGAAGTGGCAGCTTGAACAGGCTGTGGTGTGACAGTGTTTTTACGATAACTTTCACTTTCCTTTTCTTTGTCTCTATCTGAAACAAGATTAGCAGCTTCTTCTACCGTTTTGGTAGATTCCAGTATCTGATCAATTAAATTGTAAGTCTCTAATGGATTAATAGCAGCTTTTGTTGGTTGCTCATGATGTTTTTTAGAAGGCTGCTTTGATTGCGCTGCTGTGGATTTTT